AAAACAACCTCCTTACTGAGCTTCCTCAGTTCCCAGTAAGTAACTCCTCTTCTGCCAGGTGCACTGCTTCAGAATGCCTTATACCCCCTGTTGGTAAGAGGTAAAATGCTTTTGCACTCTTTGCAGAGTGAACTTCTGGTCTGCTGTTCCACCTTCTTCGTAGTCAAAAGGATAACCCAGCTTGGGTGTGGTGGTCCATGCCTATAATGCCAGCATGTGGGAGACTGAAGCAGGAGGATCTTGAGGTCAAGGCCAGCCTGGGCTATATAACAAGACCCTGTCTCAATAAAAACAAAACAAAAACCCTAGTTGATTTTTGCTTTTGGTTACACTTCTGTTGAATGGAACCGATCCATCAAAGTTTGATCCTTCCTTCATGTGTAGGAAGCCACAGTTCAGTAAGAGTCCCTGCCCTGTGCACTTACACTTTCTTTTAGGACAGGGAAATTAGCAAGCCCAACAAGGACATCATGTAAAACTCTGTCTTCTAATTGATGCTAACAGTGAGGTTTGTTTCTCTGCTTTTTGTCCTATTTCTCAAGAACCTAGGTTCAAAACTTGAGTGGCACTTATTTGGCTATCACAAAACACAACTGACATCCAGCCTAGGCCAACACTCAAAACCTACCACATCTGGATCTTAGAGAATGTGCTGTTTGACCTCAGAGGACAGGTAAAACTTGTGAAGCAGTCACAGCTGGAGGCAGTGATTCTGAACCATCTTCCACACTAGTACCTTTCCACCAGTAACAATGGCTTCCTGTGGCAGACCCAGGAAACAGGAAGGAGTGCATGCTCAGGGCTGCAACTCAGAGTCTTTGGGGCAGTTGTATGTTGCTTAAACACTAAAGCAGGTGATTTTTCACATGCGTCTTGAGAGGAGCCCTCTGCGTTCTGCCAGCCCACAAAAAAGCAGTAACCTAGGCTTTGATCCTCACTTTGAAAGTTCAGAAACTCAGTTCCTGTGAGCTCATCCAGGGATAATTGGACTCGAGGGCATTGGTCACACAACTCACAGTCACAAGAGCCTGATTTATAATCCAGAATGTCAATTAACCAATTGCAAATGGGGGCTGAAGTTTTCCTGTACTTGAACTACCTGTAACCTCTTTCCAAACCACCCTGTAATTAGTATCTAGATGGGAGAAGACCAAATTAGTCACCAACTATAAGAAAGTAAGAAAACTGAACCAACAAGAGACCTGAGTTTCAATCCCAGTCCTACCACCATTGTTGACCTTGGGCCTTTGCAAATCTGTAAACTCCTGGACAAGACAGCCTGTGTGGCAGAACTGTCACAGCGAGTAGTAGGGAAGTCCTTGTTCTATTATATAAGAAATGCCCCAGGGCACAGGATTATGTTCAAGGATATGTCCTCTAGGGCTTGCAGTACATCCCGTGCTCTATTGGAGAGTAGCCTAGTACACGTGGCAGATACACAGTGTACTTAGGGCCGGAGGCCTGCTTTGTGTCTTGACTCCTGGGCAGCACCTCTCCCCCCATCACCCTCTGTGGTACTCGTGTTTGAACTCAGGACTCCCTCTTGCTAGGCAAGTGTTCTACCACTTGAGCCACACCTCCAGTGTCCAGACAGCACCTTATACACTTAGTATGGTTCGATTCTAAATCACACACGCACTTCTAGTTCACCTTTTAGGCTGGCTGCCTCTTGGGGTCCAGCTGGTTTTAGGTACCATCAGAGTTTCTAATTCAGTGAACCTGAGAACTGATGCTGATCTCAGGAACCAGACCACACTTTGAGAAGCACTGAACTAGTTCATGGTCTAAGATGATCCTAATGAGACTGCTGTTCCCTGCTTCTGCATGACAGTTCTGCTGTCTGTGCTCAGATCTCTGCTTTAGGGATTTGCCTGAGCGGCCATCTCCCAGCTGCACAGACACTCATCTCTCTCTGGCTTTATCACTGTTTTACTGAAAAAATTCAAAACTAACAAATTATTTTAAAGAAACTGTTTCATTTGGAAACAGTTTCCTAGCTGGCTTGAACGGAAACATCTGGGAGTGCTTGATGACTCCTGAATGGCATCACTCCCAAAAGGCAGAAAAGAAATTAAGACAGCTGGCATATTTGACAGAGAGCTCATGGAGCTTCCTATGCCGATGCTGCAGCCGTAGAATGACCACAGGGACCCTGCTGTTCCACTCTTGGGGCATATACTTGAAGGAATCAAAATCAGTATACAATAGAGATACCTGCTGCTCAAGTTTACCAAAGCACTATTCACAATAGCCCAGCAATGGAATCAGCCTAGGTGCCCAACAACAGATAAATGGATAAAGAAAATGTGGCATATAGACCCAATGGAATGTTATTCCACCATAAAGAATGAAATCATGTCATATGCAGGAAATGGATGGAATGAGAGATCATCATTTAAGCAAGATAAGCCAGACTGAGAAAAACAAATATTGCATGTCTTCTCTCATATGAAGAATCTAGATTAAAAAAAGAGAAAAGACATGAAAGTAGCAGGGAGAATATCTGGGAAGAGAAAGTGGACTAGCAGAAGGTGAAAGTCTGAAGGAGAGCTATTTGGGATGTGAATATAATCAAAGTACATTATATACAGTTATGAAAACAAACCTATTATTTTGCACAATTAATATTTATAAAAAATGCAAAGGTGGGGCGTGGTGGCTTATGCCTGTAATTATAGCTACTTGGGGAACAGAGATCGGGAGGATCACACTTTGAGGCCAGCCAGGCAAAAAATTTAGCAAGAACCCTACCTCAACAAAGCTGGGTGCGGTAGTTCATGACTATAATCCCAGTTACACAGGAGGCATAGTTAGGAGGATCATGGTCCAAGGCTGGCCCAGACCAAAAAAAGCACCAAGACCCTATCTGAAAAAAGGGCTGGAGGTATAGCTAGCAAGCACAAGGCCCTGAATTTATACCTCAGTACTGCCAAAGGGGAAAAAAAAGCAACCCCTCCAAAAACGTGTAAGAAATAAATATTTACATATATATTACCAGGCGCCAGTCCACAGTAGCCAGGTGCTAGGTGCTCACTCCTGTAATCCTAGCTACTCAGGAGGCAGCGTTCAGGAGGGTGGCAGTTCAAGGCCAGCCCAGGCAAATAGGTTGCAAGATCCTATCTCAACAATACTCATTAAAAAAATGGGCTGATGCTCAACGCAGAGAAACTAAAGCAACTGAGGCCAATAAGAGAAGGGGACCAGGAACTAGAGAAAAGTTTAGATCAAGAAGAATTAACCTAGAAGGTAACACACACGCACAGGAAGTTAATGTGAGCAACTCCCTGTACAGCTATCCTTATCTCAACTAGCAAAAACCCTTGGTCCTTCCTATTATTGCTTATACTCTCTCTTCAACAAAATCAGAGATAAGGGCAGAATAGTTTCTGCCAGGTAGCAAGGGTAAGGGGAGGTAAGGGAGGGAGTGGGGCAGGGCAGGGGGGAGAAATGACCCAAACATTGTATGCACATATGAATAAAATAAAAATTTAAAAACAACAAAATGGGCTGATGGAATGGCTCAAGGTATAGGCCTGTGTTCAAACCCTAGTATCATGAAAAAAAGAGAAATATTTACATATATATATATATATATATATATATATGTATATATATACACACATGCATAAATATTTTAACATCTTTGATGTTGAAATACATCTTACAGTTAAGTATATATCTTAATGTAACTGGTAGCATTTTTTCTTAAGATATAAAATAGTGCTGCATCTTAAAGTTGATGTTCTCTTAGACTCTGAAATATGATGATGGGTGAAGAAGAAATAAGGAATTCAAAGACAAAATTTTATTTTAAATTTTTATTGTTTTATTATTCATATGTGCATACAATGTTTGGGTCATTTCTCCCCCCTGCCCCCACCCCATCCCTTACCACCCACTTCACCCCCTCCCTCTCCCCCCCCAATACCCAGCAGAAACTATTTTGCCCTTATTTCTAATTTTGTTGTAGAGAGAGTATAAGCAATAATAGGAAGGAACAAGGGTTTTTGCTGGTTGAGATAAGGATAGCTATACAGGCACATATGAATAATAAAAGAAAAATGAAAAAAAAAAAAAAACAAAATAGATACTTCAACTAGACACCAACTAGCACAGCAGTAGAACAGTTATTAGGGACAGGCTTGCGTGATAATTTTTAATTAATTTGTCAGTCCATATAGTAAAAAGTAAAAGATGAAAAGTTATCCTAAGTATTAAGCCTGAATTATTTGTCAAGTGCCTCCATTTTCTACTTTTAGGCCTGAGTATACAGAAGTTCAATGACTAAATTCCAAAAAGAAGAGAATGGTGCATAATAAGTGCACATCTCTGAATGTGGAGAGAAGAGTTATTTGATTTCACATAGGGTATATTGTTTTACCAACTAATTGTCTACCACCACATGTTTATATGTGATTGCTACGTAAATGGTTTATGGATTGTTAAGAAGTTTTACAGATATCCAGAAAGAATATTACAGCTCAATAAATAAACTTTTACAAGTAAAAAAAAAAAAAAAAAAGGATAGCTATACAGGGAGTTGACTCACATTGATTTCCTGTGCATGTGTGTTACCTTCTAGGTTAATTCTTTTTGATCTCACCTTTTCTCTAGTTCCTGATCCCCTTTTCCTATTGGCCTCCGTTGCTTTTAAGGTATCTGCTTTAGTTTCTCTGCGTTAAGGGCAACAAATGCTAGCTAATTTTTTAGGTGTCTTACCTATCCTCACCCCTCCCTTGTGTGCTCTCGCTTTATCATGTGCTCAAAGTCCAATCCCCTTATTGTGTTTGCCCTTGATCTAATGTCAAAGACAAAATTTTAAACATAGGAAACTAGAAGAACTCCATTATTCCTAACAAAAAAAAAAAAAAGAAGTGAGATTCCTTGGTTCCCACAAAGGAATCAGACCAAATCTTCTATTTGAGCAACGGCCCACAGATAATATCATTGGTACTTAATGATAGTAATAATAATAGGAAGTAGTTTTTAACGAAGCCTTTAATTAAAAATGTGTTTGACTCTCCAGAAATCATAACTGAAGGGGAAGAGCAAATCAACATTGAAAGGAATCTGTGATGCTTTGGGACGGATGACATTCCACTTCTGGAGCCAGCTGACATCCAGATGCACCAAAGCAGCAGTCATTTGAACAACCGCAACTTTTTCAAATACTGGCTCACTTCCTCTTTGGGGTATGGCCGAAGAGCAATGCACGTGGCAATATTCTCTGGCTGCTCAAGCCACAGCATGTGGTCAATGTGCTTCTGTTGCAGGGTCTCAGCCAGCTCCTTTAGGGTGGTCTCATCTGGGGCCTGCAAGGAGTGGAACACAGAGCACAGATTGGATAGCTTATATAGGAATTGGCGCCCGTGTAACAGCTATGCCTCCTCCTCCAGGCAGCTCTGTGAGAGCTACTGAAAGGATTACTGAAGTTATACACACCTTCCTCCTCCCTTCATCACACCATGCTCAGAACTAAAGGTTTTCCTTTGCTGGGATAGCTCCCAGTGCCTTGCTGTAGGGAGAACAAACTATTCTCTAACATTTGTGCAAACTGTTTCTGGGCTATTCTTCCCAAATCACTTCAGGAAGCCTGGCTCAATCCCACTGCAGGGAGTATTAAAATTATTGCTCAGAGAGTATGTTATTTTGCATAAGATACATATTTTGCCTATAAAGGCAGAAGCCACTAATAACTAGAGGCTTCTCTTTTGAAGTTAGAGATGCTGGAACTGCCACTCAATGGACAGAGTCCTTCAGACAAAGTCACATTGGGTAGCAGCTCACCAACTCTCCCTCCAGCTGCATCCAGTAGCAGCAAAGTCCACTGGGTCAGTGAGTCTCTGGAATCACACTGCTGAACTTCAAACTCTTGCTCTACCACGTGGTCTTTCCCAAGTTATGTGACTTAGCTGGGACTCTGTTTCCCCTTTGTGAAAAGGGGTGACAATGCTTCATAGTAGAAGTTGGAATTCAGTGAAATTAGGTTCAGAACTGAGTGTCTGACACGCAGTATGCACCAACAGACACAGTTAATCGTGACATTGCCTTACATTTTATTGGTCCCTGTGGCTAGAGCAACACTTCAATTAGTGACTTGTACATCATGGCTAAATTAGTGACTTGTACATCATGCTAACAACTTGAAATCAGCATCTCATTTAAGAAAAGGGGTCTTGAACCAGGTATTTTTGCAAGCTGTCTTCATATAGAAAGAATATAAATGAAATGCTGTCTGCTGCTTTTCTGCCTAGTCATAGATTTTTAAAACATTTTTCTTACAGATTACCACTTAATGTTTCACTGCTCAACATTTCTCTTGAAAGATACTGTCTTTGCCAGTCAGCATGAAGGGATAACCCCAACCCTTGCCCCTTCCAGTTTAAACTTATTATAAGAAATTCATTGTAATTTATTATAAAATACAGACTTGATGTGGCAAATTTTTAAATATCGAGAAACATTAGGAAATAACCAAAACTCCCACTATTCACTGATATTTAGATGTTCTTAGCCTTTTCCTTTCAAATCATTCTGTATCTAGAATACAGCTCAATTAGCATATCCTGAGCACTTTCCCAGGCCACTAAATATGCCCCAAAACATTATTTCTGCCAGCTGCCTACTAACCCAAGGGCACAGATTAATGTAACCAATCCCTAGCACCAGAAATTTACATTTTTCAATTTTTTTTACCAGTAGAAAGTTCCCCCGTAAGTATTTTTGTGCTAAGTTAAGTGAATCTGATTTTCGAAACCCGATCCTCCAGCTCTGCCTCCTGAGTAGCTAGGACTACAGGCGTGAGTCATCGGCGCCCGGCGGCTGTTGTTGTTGAGATTCACGATTTCTAGTGGCCATCTGCAAGAGCCTTACGCTGTTCAGCAATCTACGCCCCCGATGTCTGGTACTCCTAACGCTAGGTTCCCTGACAGAGGGCTGTACTTTCCAATAACGTGCGTCACGCCCCGGTTAATGCACGTTTCGGTTCGCCGTGCACGGCCGCAGAGTTGAGAAAGCGTCCTATCCTTTCTCACTTGGTTTACCGGGTGGGAGTTATGGGGGTGAGGTACAGGTAGAAAGGCGGGGACACAAGGGACGCAGGGGCCACTAGTTTCCGGTGAGCCTGGCGGGGTGCGGAAACGCATGAATAACGGGCCGAATGTCCACCTTCACAATCAGGCCTACCCAAGGGATGGATTCCCGGGAAACAGCTTAAACCCCACCACTAGTTCCTCAGCGTCTGGCTTCACTACTCCAAGTCAGGCCTTGGCCCGAGACCACACCTACTTCCGCTTCGAAGTCCCTCCAGGGTCCCACCCTCTCCGCCCCGAGCCTCACCTCGAGGACCACTTTGCGCATGCGCCCCAGCTCCCGGAGGTAAGTGGCGGTATGCGGGTGATCACGGTGAAGGTGCAAGGCTGCTGTAGCTGCGTGACAAGCCTGCGCTACCAAAGCGCCCGCAGGCCATGAGAACGGAGCCTGCGATAGATCCTTTCGTAACACCAAATATTGTACTAGGATCTGCGGCTCCGCCCCAGAGGCTGCCATCTTCCCTACCATCCGAATGGCCGAGCCTGCTCCCCGGTGCATGCTGGGATCAAGGAGGAGCCTTGAACGCCGCCATGTTTTTGTACGGCGGAAGCGCAAAGCACGCTGGGATTGCTGGATTGGCTTTGAAGGCGGGGACGGCGGGAGTTTTCGTTCCTGGCCTGGATAAGAAAGAAGCGAGGTAAAGAGGGAGACCCAGGGTTGAATGGGACCGTAACCAGCGTGGAAGGCTGTGTGCACAAAGCCCGTCTGGGCCAGAGGGCTGCGGGGAGGTGGGCGTGGGCACAGTTGCCGCGGGTCGGGAACGGACTGGCGGGCAGCGGAGGGGACTCCCCGCGGGGACAGTTGGATTATCCGTGGGCCCAGCGGCGTGCCTGGGTATAAATGGGGGTACGTTGACTTGGTTGCCTTTTTTCTTTTGCTACGAAGTACGTCCAGGTCCCTATTAGTCTTCCTGGACAACCTCATAGGAAGGCGCCTGAGAGTCTGCGGAGGTGATGGAGCTGAACAATACTTGGTGTCAAGACGGCGAGTCCAAAGCAGGTATTCAGAGGGTGGCCCTCGTCCCTTCACTGCTGCTGCCCAAAGGTGACCCTAACTCCTGAGACTGCTGTTGATTCGCTTCTGACTCAAAGGATCAGGCAACTGGGACCATCCAACAGGGAAAATTAATTGCTGCCTCTTTAGAAACGGATAGATGGCATTCATAATATACTCAGTGTTTGTAGCCAGAAGAGAGGTATCTTCTCTTCCCAGACTGTTTAATACATTTCTCCTGAGGGAGGTCCACTGTGTGGCCATCACTTTGATGTGGGTTAGCCCTGCGATTGAGTCCTGCCTCTGCCTTTATAAAAGACTGTAGCCCTGAGCAGGTGATTTTACAGCTGTCTGCCTCAATTTCTTCGTCTAGGAGATAGAGATGAATAATAGCATTGTTGTGGCAGTTGTAGATAGAAATATTTAATTCCTTCCTTGGCTTCAAGTAAACCATTTAGCATACGTCTAATATATAGGAAGTATTCTTTACAGGCTTTCTAAGTAAAGCATCTAGCACAGGTGTCTTAGTTTATAGGAAGTGTTCAAAAGTGTTTCATTATTGGAGTTCATTAGCATTATAAAACTGAATATATTGGTCCTTAGACAATCACTTGGTCACTGAGATTTACCTTTGTATTTCTGTCCACAAAGTGAGGTTGCTCTAACTTTTCTCTTTAATGCCCAGTAATATTTGTGGACAGTTCTTGCTATTGTGTGCCTTTCTAGTCCTGTGCTACTAATACTTTAATTTAGAGCTTTGAATTCAAGCTTTGTACACATTTGAAGTCAGGCTTTTAATTCAAGCCTGATGTCTAAATCCTAAGGATTATACAGTTTCTGAGAAAGTCAGTGAATTTGGTGACCCTGTTTTCCTCTGATCATGGATAGTGGAGAATTAGTTGTATTCACAAAACTTAACCTCAGACTTTAGATCATAAGCAGTTCATAGATTAAAATTGCTACTCCAAAACTAGAAGTAAATTTAATGACTTTATATAGTAAAAACATGATACAGGTGGAAGTAATCCATTCTTGAGTCTGGGTCTGTGCCTAATTTTTTTCTTTTTAGAGTAAGTGATGAGATGTTTAGATCATCAGCAGACCTACACCAGCCAGTTATTCTACAGCCCTTTTATCATCTTTCCCAAATAATATTTAAACATTTAGCCTCTACCCATTCTGGTAGTCCTCTGCTTGGTAGTTTCAGCTTTCTGTTTATAGTGTGAATGTGTGTGGAAGGATTAGTTGAGAGGAAATTGATATTGCAATAAGGTTCCTGAGAAAGCAAGAGGAGATAGGAATCAATGAGAATGATAAGAAAACTAAATGAAATACAACTCTGCATATTTCTTTCTTACGCTAGAGTTTTGGTGGTTTTTTTTTTTTTGTGGTACTGGGGCTTGAACTCAGGGCCTACACCTTGAGCCACTCCACCAGCTGTTTTTTGCAAAGGGTTTGTTCAAGATAGGGTCTCACTTGAACCTCGATCCTGCTGATCTCTGCCTCCTGAGTATCTAGGATTACAGGTGTGAGCCACCAGTGCCTGGCTTTTTTCTTTAAATTGGGTATGCACCTCTAGTTTTTTGGGTTTGTTCTTGTTTTTTATAATCTTGATTGAATAAGTAAATGAGGTAAGTTTTTAAACCTGTCCCAAGGCAAGTAAAGAATGTTAAGATTTTAAGTATATACTTATGAACCCTACAGAATAGATATTGGATCTACTTAAGAAGTATAATTAAATGAGGTCTGGTAGTTAAAAGTATGGGATTTTTTAAGGGAGACTCATCTAGTCTTTGGTAAAGCTTTTGAATTATCCTTTTTCATGCTGGAGATGTGCTTTTGTGATAAACTGTAGGCCAGAAAAATACACTGCCACCTAGAAAGCATGCCATAGACCAATCAGATTCTCCCTCTTGTTCTCTTTGAATAGTGTTCTGGTCAGGATGTTCAACCTAAGAGACTGGTAAGCTTTGATTTGGTTGTCAGATCCCCTGGTTTTATAAAATTCAACTGGCCATAAAATTCTGGAAAAAAAGATACGTCCTCTGTTCCTTTTTGAAATGCTTCCTGTTGCCAGAATTGGAAAGTCTTTCTGTGAATCCCCTTTTTACTTTCCTTAGGTGTTTTAGCTCACTTGGAAAGACTGGAGGCTCAAATGAAGAAATCTGAAGAGCTGCAGAGAGCTCAGGCAGGGGGGAATGCTCTTGGAAAGAAGATTCATGAACTGAGGCATCTGCGAGATAAGCTGAGGGCTGAAGTGAGTCGACGTCAAGCCAGAGTGAGTGGAATGGTGATCCTGGCAGGTTTCCTTGGGTATAGAGAACAATCGTGATGTGGGAGTTGGCCCTTCCTATCCATGGGGTCCACATCTGTGGATTCAACAAACCATGGATCAGAAATATTCAAGAAGAAAAATAGCATCTGCACATGTAGATGACTTTTTTTTGCCATTATTCCCTACACAATACAGTGTGACAACTATTCACATAATACTACATAACGTTTACATTATATTAAGTATTGAAAGTAATCTAGAAGCTAGATGCAGTGGCTCGCACCTGTAATCCCATCTACTTGGTAGATGGAGATTGGGAGAGTAGCAGCTCGAGGACAACCTGGGCAAAAAATGAGACCCAATGTCAACAAAAAAAGCTGGACCTGGTGGCACATGCTTGTCATCCCAACTGTGTGGGAAGCATAAGTAGGATAACCAGGCTGGCTTGGGCAAAAATGCAAGATCCTGTCTCAAAAATAACCAAAGCAAAAAGGGCCAAGTCATGGCTAAAGCAGTAAAGTGTCTACCTAGCAAGCACAAGGCCCTGAGTTCAAACCTCAGTATCTCCAAAAACAAACAAAAGTAGTCGGTAGATGATTTAAAGTACACAAAAAGATGTTTGAAGGTTGTATGCAAATACTATGTCATTTTATGTAAAGGAATCTACAGGGGATCCTCAAGCCAATTTCCCTTGGATACCATGGTAAAATAGTACCTGCATTAGATATTTGAAAAATGTTTTGTGAAGTGTGCCTTTTAAGGCTTTTGCAAAGTTTTTATTTGTCTTTTTTTTTTTTTTTTGGCAATACTGGGGCTTGAACTCAGGACCTACACATCAAGCCACTCCACCAGCCTTTTTTTGTGATGGGTCTTTTTGAGATAGAGTCTTGCAGACTATTTGCCTGGGCTGACTTCGATTGATTCTCCTGATCGCTGCCTCCTGAGTAGCTAGGATTACAGGCGTGAGCCACCAGAGCCGGGCTGAATTGAGGAATTCTTTACATATTTTGGGTATGAGTTCTTTGTTGGGTGTATGTATTAAAAGTTTTCCCTTAGACTGTAGCTTGCCTTTTCATTCTCTAATTTTTTTTTTTTCCTTTTTTTTTCCTTGCAGTGCTAGAGATCAAACTGAGGGCCTGGGCATGCTAGTCAAGTACCCTGCCACATCCCACAGCCCTTGGTTTTTCTGTTTGTTTGTTTCTTTGGTGTTCTTGGGGTTTGAACTCAGGGTTCACACTTGCTAGACAAGGTGCTCTACCACTTGAACCTTTAGCCCAGACTTGTTTTTTTTTTTTTTTGAGACAGTCTTGCTGTGTAGTTCTGGCTGACCTTGAACTCACTATGTAGCCCGGTGACTTTGAGCCCTGAATCTTCCTGCCTCAGCTTCTTAAGTGCTAGGATCACAGTTGGTATCTTGTGATGAAAAGACAATCTCTATATTAACAAAATTCAGTTTAGGAATTTGACTTTATGCTTTGTTTTCTTGTTTCCTGCTTTATAAAGCTTTGCCTAGCTTAAAATCATGATGTCCTCTTATATTGTTTTCTTTATTTTAAGCTTTGTTGTTTCTACTTTTAGAATTACAGTTCACATAGAATAGACTTTTGTATGTGCCAGTGTGATAGAGGTCTGCTTCTTGTTTTGGGGTTTTTTTTTGTATGGATAGCCAAGTTCATCCAGTACTTGAAAAGATCACTTTCTCCATTGTATCTTTTTGGATACTGTTCTGTCCCATTGGTTTATTTGTCCATCTTTGTGCACAGCCAGATTTTTATTTGCTTGTAAGTCTTGATACCTATAGTACTTGTCCCCTCTTGAGAATTATATAGGCTGTTCTTGGCCCCTTGAATTTTCCATAAATTTGGGTGGGGATCAGCAGTCATGTTCCAAAAATAAACCTCCTCTACTTATTATTAGGATGGTATTGAACCTAAGATCAATTTAGGGAGAATTTGCATCTTTCAGTCAATATATGTAGTACTATCTTTTAAAATTTTGGTTCTTTGATTTTTCTCACTAAATGTGTATATTTTTATGTGTATAGGTCTTAAACCTTATGTATGTATTTAATCTTTATTTACTATACATGGCAGGAGGGTCAGCAGGTTTTTTGTGTGGAGGGCCAAATATTTTAGACTTTCTGAAGGCATGATCTCTACAGCAGCTCCTCAGCAGTGCTGTTGTAGCAGGAAAGACAGTATATAAAGTGGGTATGGTGCATTTACAAAATATCATGCCCTGCGTGGTGGGGTGGTGCTCATCTGAAATCACAGTACTTGGGAGGCTGACCCAGAAGGATCCAGAGTTCGAGGTTTGCCTGGGGAGCATTGCAAGACCCTGTCTCAAAACAAACAAACAGAAAACACCTGGCTGGGCTTGACCCATAAGCTGTAGTTTGAAGACCCCTAAAATATGGCATTATCTTTTAGTAGCTTTTTTCCTAATTGTATTATACAGAAACATTTGACCTCATATATGGCAAATCTGCTAAATCCACATTCATTCTAAGTTTGTCTTTCTTTACAGCCTTCCTTTCCAATCCCTGTAACTTTTTTTTTTTTTTTCTTGCCTTATCCATTGGCTAAGATCTCTGGTATGTTTTGAGTAGAAATAGTCAGAAGGCCAACCTTTTTGTTGTAAATTTTGTATAGCTACTCTTTAATAGATTAAGGAAATGCTCTTCCATTTCTAGTTTGCTAAGAATTTTAATCATGATAAAGTATTGGATTTTATCAAGTGTTTTATTACATATATTAAGATGATTCTATGACTTTCTCCTTTATTAATGTGTAAAACATCAAAGTTTGAATAAGAAACCACCCTTAGATTCTTAGAGTTGATATATTTACATAAATATATATATTTGATATATATTAGGTTTGATATATTTTGTTTCAACTAATGCTGAATATGATTTGGTGGTATTTGTGAATAGAACTTTTGTTCTCTGGTGTTTTTTGTTGTTGTTTATAATATTACAGGTTTTGGCTGGTCTCAAAAAGGTTGAGACATTTTCCTTCTTTTTCTATCCTCTGGTGTTAAATTTTATAAAGAATCCCGGGAGACATTCTTTCAGCCTTTTTCTGTTAAGGTTTTTAATTTCTGATCTGATTTCTTCGATTGCCATAAAACTATTCAGAATTGCATAGTTTGTCAGCTATGAGTCTTATTGTTTGAACATGATGTGCCTGTTTTTCCTTAGGCTTCTTTAAGATTTTCTGTCTCTGGTTTTCAGCAATTTTATGTCATAATGTCGCCAGTCATGACTTTTCTTTATGACTTGCTATTTGTAGAGCTTTTTAAGTAGTTATTTCATGCTTTTCATCTATTTTGAAAATTTTGGCAACTATCTTTTCAAGTAGTGCATCTACTTCATTCTTTCTACTGTTTCTAGAGTCCCCACGAATGGTGGGTTTTTCTTTCTTTTTTTTTTTAATTAGTATGTGATAGTTGTGACATTTCCATATATATATTGTACCCTGGTTTGGTTCATCTCCATTATTCTCCCTCTTCCCCCACTTCCCTTCTTAAAATGACTTCGACATGTTTCTGTTTCTTTTTCCTGTGGTCTATATCTACTAATTTTCTGATCTTAGTTTTTTTCTCTTTAATATCTGTTTCAATGTGGCTATGAAAATTACCTTATGTTTCACTTGCAACCTAAGTTTAGGTACTATAATTTTTGGTTCCAGGCGTTCCATCTGATTCTTTAATATATATTCCAGGTCTTTTAACCTATTTTAATGACCATCCCTGAAAAATCAACTGAATCCTCTTGAATCTGTTTCTAGGTGAGTTGTGTTGTGTTCCCTCCCCACCCCCTGCTGGGGATCAAACCAAGGGCCTTGCATATAGCAAGCAAGTGCTCTACCACTGCTATAATCCCCAGGCCTCAAAATCTGTTTATAGTCTTTTTTCTCATGATTTTTAGTCATCTGTTCCTCTTCTGGTATGCCTGGTACTTTTCTTTAATTCAGTGATGAGTATCATGTATGGAAAATATTGAGGTTCTGAGTTGTGTTATCTTCCTCCAGAGAATTTTAGGTTTTTTTCAGATGGGCAGACAGCACGTGGGTGTATTGCCTTAATTCATTTGAAGTGATCTAGTTCTCTTTTGTCCTTACTACTAGGTGTAGCCCATTTCTGAGTCCCTCAATTAAAAGTTTGAGAGTCAGGGAGGGTCCATCACAGTCCTCCTTCCTTGAATTTCAGATTTTGTTCTACAAAAGTTTCTGCTTAGCTCTTTACCCTTTACATATTCACAAGAACGTGTGAAGTTTCTTAGACCCTAGTCACACATGACTTATCAAATGCTAGGAAGGCAGAGTGCATACAGAGTATTGGGTTTCCTTTCCTGTGGGATATGCCTACGAAAGGTTGTTTTGGTAACATCAGCCTCCAGTTTTCTGTCTCCCCAGACAGTGAGACTGCTACAAAGGGTAGCCTACAGTTTCCTATTTGGCCCACGTACCAGTACCTTGAGATGCAAATTAGCGAATACTGAGGGGGAAAATACAATAGCCTGCTAACTTCAGAGCATTTATCTTCGCTCTTCAATCCTGACCATTTAGATTGTTCTCTGATACCTTCAGACCATTTTCTGTTTGCTTGCTTGCATTTGTTTTTGGTGTTTTGTTCAGCTTGCATAGCTCTTTTCAGAGGGTGAGGCAGCCTGATACCACCTGCTGGGCTATAGCTGAAATCCTGCAGTCTGACCCAGACCAGCCTTTCCAGCTTTGCTTCTTTATAGTCATCTGATTTGTCCACCCTGTGCTCATCCTATATTTTCCTCACACCCTTTCTTCCTCAGGATCTTGTCTGTCCCCACCAAAATCCTGGTTCTTGACTCGATTCCTTGTGTTGTGACCTACAGACTCTTCCTCTGCTATGAATTCATAGTACCAGCTGGATGGCCACAGTAGTGCTAAGCTCTTGGTGCAGCACAAGTCAGGTGAGGACAGGAACTTTATGGTGTATCCCTTCGTAGCTAGTTTGTTTTGCTGCCTGTCTTGCAGGTGAAAGCATCTTCTGTTTGTCCTGAACAAACAGTGGAGATCACTGAGCAGGTTTTAGAAAGACAACGGGAAAACATGAAAGCCATCCTACAGGCATACCGCTTTACAGGTAAAATTTTTTCTGACCTGATTCCATCTTCATCTGTGTCTCTGGAGAGTTAGCTAGATGTATTATTAGTGACAGGCTTGTTTCATGAGAATTTATTTTGCACCCTCTGCCCTCACACACACAAAACTGGCATGCTGGTTTGCAGGCACATCTCCCCGTATATTAGCCTTTGTGTACAGCAGAAAATTGCTTGATAGCTGGGTTAGGCCACTCTTTTTAGCAGATCGTCATTTGCCAGACCCTGTACTAGAACTTCCTTTTCATTGCTGCTTGAAGTTAAGACACGCTGGAAAGAGGGTGGGGCTCCCTGAGCGCTGAAGATTGGGGGAAGGGAAGCCTTCCCGGGACTGTAAATAAACAAGCCGGGCGGGCCTGAGAGGCTCTGGCGGGAGCTGGGCTCGCCCAGCAACCAGGAGCAGGGACGCTTGTGAGAGGAGGGAAGACCACTTCCCACGTGAACTGTAAATAAACACGCAGGCCTGACAATGCGGGGCAGTGTCACCTTTCCCAGTGCTTGGAAAGGGGAAAGCCTGTAGCAGAGGCCCCCAGCACAGGAGAACTCTGAGCAAACAAAGCCTGTGGGACCAGGTGAGTGCTAAGCTCACCCCAGAGATCTGCATAAACAACGCCGCCAGCTACAGGCTGAGAGCAGCAGGCAGGCAAGCCACAGTTGCAGATACCACTCTCAGAACTGCCTCCAGACGCTTTTTTTTCTTTTTCTCCCTACCTTTGATGAGAGAACAACTGAATTACACCTGCAAGCCGAAAAACTTACTGAAACTGTATTGCATTTGAACTGGGGACACTTGGTGGGGCTTTTTTTTTTTTTTTTTTTCTTCTGTGTGTGTGTGTGTGTGAGTGTAGTTTTGTTCTACTTTATGCATCCCCTTTGATGAGACAACTACAGAACAACATCTGAGGCACCAACTCCAGGACTGGAGATTGAGACGGACATCCAAATTATTAAGACTGAAATTGCATTGCATATAAACTTGGAAGTTTTTTGGTTTTTTTTTTTTTTTTTTTTTAATTTTCTATTTTTCCATTTTATTTTAATTCATTTTTATATATAGATATTACTTTCATATGCTTAGTTTTTATTTTTTTTATCTTTGATTTTCAATCCTCTCTCTGTCTCTCTATTGTCTGTTCAGCTTACTGTCGATTAGTACACTAACACTCCCTGTTTATACCTTTGAAACTCTCTTGTCTGATACCTTGTTCTGCTTTCTCCCTCTTGTCTGTATATTTGTTTTACCCTTTTCTTTAACTTCTTGCTTTCCATCTCAGCTCACTCTTCCATTCTCAATATTACCATTGTTATTATTACAAGCTAGAAAATACTTAATTACACACAGTACAGGGACAGTAACAACACCAAGGACAATGACAGGAAGACAGAAAAAACAAGGAAACCAGTTTCCCCACAGCAAAAAATTAGTACAGGAACCAGAGGGGAATGAAGAGAACAGAAACTCAGATCCAGACTCCAACAAAATGAAGATAAACTATGCCAAAGGACCCAATGAAGCCCACAAGAATAATTTAAAAGAAGACATACTACAAGTACTCAATGAGAATTTTATAGAGATGATACTGGATAGGGTCAACCAAAATGTACAGGAGACACTCAAGAAATTCCAAGGGCAATAAAAATAGAGAATTTGAAAAAGCAAAAGAAGAAATAAAGGAAACCATAGAAGCACTGTATAAACACCAAAGTGAAAGAGAGAACACAATAAATGGATAAATGAACTCAGGACAAAAATAGACAACAATAAAGAAGAAAACAGCCAGGATATGGAAAACCTCAGAAAAAAGAACGAAACAGAACTGCAAAACAAAACGGAAGGCCAATCCAGCAGAATAGAACAAACAGAAGACAGAATCTCAGAACTTGAAGATGAAATGGTAATTAAAGGAAAAACTGAAGAACTATTAATTAAACAACTCAAGACCTGTGAAAAGAAAATGCAAGAACTCACTGACTCCATCAAAAGACCAAACTTGAGAATCATGGGCATCGAAGAAGAAGAGGTGCAAGCGAAGGGAATGCGTAATATATTCAACAAAATAATAACGGAAAATTTCCCAAATCTAGAGAAAGATATTCCCATACAAATGCAAGAGGCCTCCAGGACACCAAACAGACCAGATCAAAATAGAACTACTCCACGACATATCATCATTAAAACAACAAGTTCAGAAACTAAGGAAAGAATATTGAAGGCTGTAAGAAAAAACAAGTAACACACAAAGGTAAACCCATCAAAATCACAGCAGACTTCTCAACAGAAACATTAAAAGCAAGAAGAGCGTGGGGTGAGATCTTCCGGGCACTGAATGAAAATAACTTCAACCCCAGGATACTCTACCCAGCAAAGCTATCATTCAAAATAGATGGAGCAATAAAAGTCTTCCATGATAAGCAGAAACTAAAACAATATGTGACCACAAAGCCACCATTACAAAAGATTCTGCAAGGGATCCTGCACACAGAAAGTGACACCCAACTTAACCATGAAAAGGCAGGCAGCACCAAACCACAGGATAAGAAAAAGCAAGACAGTAGAGAGTAACATCAAGTTAGGTACACACAATCATTGCTGCTTGATTTAGGCTACTGGTCCAATAGCTTGAGCTCCTCAAATCTCTGTTATCATCAATAGGAATTTATTCCCTCATCTGTGCCACAAGAGGACTGTGGGAAGAACTGGGGACTATCACAAGTTATTTTGACACTCAAGAAAAAAAGAGAATAGATAAATTGAAAATTTCACAGTAGCTCATGCCTGTAATTCCAACCACTTGGGAGACAGAGATTGGGAGGATTGCAGTTCAAGCTTGCCCTGGCAAAAAGTTAGTGAAACCCCATTTCAACAAATATGCTGGGCGTGGTGGTGTGTGCTTATAATCCAAGCCACACTAGAGGCATACATAGGAGGATTACAGCCCTTGGTTGGCCCTAGGCAAAAAGTGAGACCCTACTCCAAAAACAGCAAAAGCAAAAAGAGTTTAGGGGTATGTTTCACGGTAGAGCACCTGTCTAGCAAGAATGAGGTCCTGAGTTTGAGCCCCAGAGATGCCCCTCCCCCTCTCCAAGAAAAAGAAAAATTTGAAATATTTTCTTAATAATTTGATATTTAGGATCTCTTTCCCTCCCCCATCCTGTGGTTTTAACAATTCAGTTTCAATGTGAGCCAGTGTCAAGGGGAGGAGCCTTTGATATCTGTTGATTCAGGAAGCATTTGAGCACAACATCTCTATGCTCAGCCCTGTGCAGGCTGCTGGAATGCCCGGGTGAGTGAGGCACTACCTTTGCCTGGTATCTGTTAGGGTGTTGTCTCATTGTTCACTCAGGGCTCAGTGGAAAGCTGACCAGCCGCGGAGTCTGTGTGTGCATCAGCACTGCCTTTGAGGGGAACCTACTGGATTCCTACTTTGTGGACCTTGTCATAGAGAAGCCACTCTGGATACATCACCATTCCATCCCAGCCTTCATTCCTTTAGAAAGGATAGCTGCAGAGCACCTACAGACTGATGTTCAGCGCTTCCTCTTCAGCCTCTGCGAGCACCTGAACGCTTATTCTGGGAGGAAGTACCAAGCAGATCGACTTCAGGTACTTGTGTAGGATTTTATGAGCTTCAAGGGAAAACAAAGGGACAAGTGTTCTTTAGTATTTTAAACATTTCCAAACTTGGAGCCAGATTACCTTTCTAGACCTTGTTTCTTATTTATAAACAAGCTTTTTCCACCCTTTCTCTCTCATCCTTTTGAAAATGTTGGGTGATGATGAACTGTGGTTCCTGGTTAAGGGATTATGCAGTTAAGGATGGTGGTCCTCTAACTTTTATCACAAGCGGTGCAGCACACTTGCTAGACTGCTAAGCCAGCAAGGATTTTTAGACTGCCTCCTGTGTGCCAGTGCCCTGCTGAGCCACGGGTATAGAGCACAGCCCCATAGAGGAATGCTGCCCATCTTCCCCTGATTTCGGTCTGTCTTTGTAGGTGAGCTAAGTTTGGGGTGTAAACCATAGGCAGGAAATGAATACAAATAGAGAGTGCATGTAGCATTTCCCCATCTATGCATTTGGAAGGCCAACCTCCCAGTTGTCAGTTAAACTTGACATGTGAGTGCAGACATGAAGTGTCTAACCATATATGTAATGCCAGTGAACTCCTGAAATGCTCCTCCATCTGCACCCCTGCCATTCACTTAGAAAGTGCTTCCCCATAGATTCCTAGTGATCTTTTGAGATGGAGTTTCACATGTTGCCAGGCTGGCCTTGAACTCCTGGCTCAAGCAACCTTTCCTCAGTCTCCTGAGTAGCTGGGACCACAGGCACACGCTGCTGTGCCTGGCCTAGTTATTTATGTCTTTCATTAGTCCTTTTCTCAGGCCTTTTTCTTTTCCTCTTTCATTTCTCTGAAATTGAATGAATGGGCCCTCTTTTGATAATACCTGTTTGAAGGGCCACAACCACTACGTGCGGAGCTGTAATCATACACTTGTTTTGTTCCTCACCCCTGGTAGAGCGACTTTGCAACCTTCCTGACTGGGCCCTTGCAGAGAAACTCCCTGTGCAACCTGCTGTCATTTACTTACAAAGTAGAACTGGGTAGTCATTCCTTCCCGTTTTGTACCAGACTGCTGTATAAGGACCTCACAAAAACTCTTCCAACTGATGTCACTGTTACTTACCAAGGTAAGAGGAAGAATGTGTCTGCAAAAAAATTACAGCGTGCTCTGGCTTATGCAGGTTAAGTGAGATAGCTGCAGTGCATCACATGGAACCCTGGAGTCACTCTATATACTAGACAAGTACTGACACAAAGATGTTTTCTTTGTTTCTACCAGTTGTCCTTTCCTCTTTGTAAATGGTAAATATAATTATCCTACTTCTCTCCCTCTTTGACTTTCCAATTCTGCCTGTGTTCTTTCAGCGCACAGTTTTTCATGGGAGTGCCCTCTATACAGACTAAGGATGAGTTATAAGGTCATCTGTGGTGAATGGAGCTAAAGGACTCACTTCACTGTGAAGCCAAGTAGACATGACCAGTTAGCGTGCACTTATAGCTCTCTGGAGTATATTCTCTATATGGGAATTTTTTAGGGCTGACTAATAGAGACATTTCTTTTGGTGATACTGGGGTTTGAACTAAGGGCCTCAAGCTTGCTTGGCAGGTGTGTTACCACTTGAGCCACTCTCTCGCTGAGATGGCTTTTAAAAATATTGTTCCAATTAAATGTACCATATTGTGACATTGGCAATAATGAAAATTTGGGTAAAATGTTTTTAGGAAGCCGAAATTTTCATGCTGCCACAGGTTCTGCACCAGTAGGTTTTAGATTTTTTGAGCAGACTGGCTCTAAGTCCCTAACTCAATTACATTGGTCTAACGGGGCAGCCTCTCTCAGATCCACACCAAAACAAAGTTACATGGGTTCAGAATAGTGGGATCCAGGTTCTGAGTCACCCAGTCCAGTTGCGCTTAATTAGATTCACAGTATCTCTTTCTTTAGGGATGAAAGCATTACCTGCTTTGTGGGAAGAACACCGGGCATCCCATGAAGCACTGTTCTGTACAAAGCCCGTGCATCAAGTGTTTGCTTCATTTGCAAGAGAAGGAGAAAAGCTGGATTTGAGCCCGGTATCCTAAAATATGGTTTCCATTGGGAACATTTCTGAAGTGAGTGAACTAGCACTACCCACAGCCCCAGGCAAGAATGGAACTGAAGGCTGCAGAAAGGCTCGCCTCCTTACCTGGGACTATCCTTTCCATGAGAACAGACATCTGCTTCATCAGGATGACAAGGAACAAGTTTGAGTCCGTGGACATTGGCATTTTTGGCAATTCTCCATGATTGCCTGGTTACTTGTTACAATGCTAAAGATCACAGTATCTGAGGTATTGATTGATTTGATCATATGTTTTAGCTGAAAGTTAGAATGGTTTATGGCATAATAGAAGACATTTTGTGAAAGGCTAAAGAATATTTCTAGGTTCTATGGAAACTGAGTGATTCTGCCTACAAGATGCCCTCATGATGTGAGGTAGATCATATGGTTAAAAAGGGAAATGTGTTTACCTTTGGTTTGGCGCAGTGTATTCTAGGCCACTGTTTCATAGGGAATATGGTGTGAGAAGTGACTGGATGATAATCAGGGTTCTGTGTGTCTAATATTTTGTTTCCTAAAACATTTTTGTGGAGAGTTGAATGAATGCAGTCACTTTGAGAAAGTGCAGCTGGAAATCTGCCCATAAACTCAGTCACCATTGCAAAGGGAAGCAGCCTTCCCTCTGCTTATCTCCTCCTCCTGCAAGTTCCAGACCCTGAGTGTGCAGTCTTCCTCCCTGTCTGTCAGGCCGTTCAGTGTTTCTTTTCTCCTTGTAAGCACGGGTGGGCCTCTGATGTGCTGGCACTTACTGTTCTTGACTTTGGGCCAGCTAACAGCTGTGAAGACCTGTCTGGCTGGTCACGTTCTCCCACTACTGGTCACGTCTCTCCTTTGCCCAGTAGGAGACAGGAGCTTTACTGCCTGAGGCCCAGAGCTGCATTCAGCTTCCCTCTGAAGTGGGCATTTCCCAGACCTTGATCGTGAGGACCTCCACATATGGGAGCTCCAGCCAACTCCGAGAGGACTGTAGGGGACAGGAAGCCAGTTTGGGCTGCCCTCAGTAGAAAGCCACTTAGAATAAAAGAGATGTCTCAGTTCAAGTTATTTCTGGGCACGTGATGGGGGCCATTGGTGTGAGTCGGCAAAGCACTCAGTCAGGCGCATTAATGGAATTGCCACAATGATTCTATCAAGTTGAGTAAAGCTTTTAATAAAACAGTCTTGTTCTTTGTCAATACCTGTAAATTCTCTTTTAAAGCAGTAGCAAAGGCGACTGTAGCAAGAGCTCAAAAGGCAAGGCAATATTGGAAAGTGTTTTTAACAGGTTAAAAATATAAATGTAGAAGATCTGTTATATATTTTTCTTTCAGAAATAACCCCCTCCCTCCTCCAGGTGAAAGGAAATATTGCACTTTCTGTTCTCGTGACTAAGGTGACAGGGGTTCCAGAAGAACCTTTCAAGATTATCAGGAACAGCAGGATGAGGACCGTTTAATCTAACTGGGACCCTGTGGCGACAGCCACGTCTCCAGAGGAGCGCTCTTCACAATGCCAAGCTCCAGCCAGGAGCGGAGTGTTCTCCAGCCGTGCCTGCCCTGCTGAGCCCTCCCTTCAGCAGTGCTCCCCCACTCATGCTCCCAGCCCAGCAGCAAAGGCATCTTCATTCTACCTCTGCTGCACTCCTGCTCACAGTGGCCACGGCCTCTCTGGGGGAAGAAGGGCGAGTTGGAGCTAGGGCTCTGGAAGGACTGTTCCAGTACTACGCCTAAGACCCCTACTCTGAGGAAGCTACAGGCACACTAAGTAGTGTGTGGCCACCCTTGGAGCTCACATATCATGAACAAGGCAGGCTTGAGGAGATTTTTAAACCTAAAGTCTATGGGAATATGCACTTCAACAATTTGGAACCGTCGAGACTTTGTCATTTACCCTTTCCCAAAGCCTTTCTTCACCTCCAAAAATAACTTCTCTCTTCTCATGTGAACCATTGTGTGGCCAAAGGCCATTCAGGAGTTATCTACCACCTGGTGGGGTAGTGTGACAGAGGAGCCATTGGGGAAGGCAGCTGGCTTGTCCCGCCCCTTCAAGAAAAAGGTCAATAGCTCCCCCTTCCCTTTCACAAAGATGGGACCTCGTCTCACAAAGCGGAAGCCATACTCTCGGAGGATGATCTGCGTCTCCTCCACCACCTGCACGTGGAACAAAACAGGCTGGGGTTAGGTAGGGAGCCTAGATTACACTGGGTGGAGCAGCTGTAGGTGGCTGGGGCCGAGAAAAGATTCAGGTGTACTAACACTTTGGTGACACATGGGTCCCAGTCATTGCTGGCCCTGTGGGCACTCCAAATACCTATGGCATGGGAGGAGAACTGTGGAGCCCGGGGCGACTGGTTCAGAGCTGTTCACCTTCCTGCAGATGCTAGGCAGACCCAACTGATACAGGTCAAAGTTGCGTCAGTGGAAGGTGCTGATAGTACAAGATGTCAGAAAGTTCATACCCAGGGGAGATTCTTCTCACCCAGATCTTAACCCTAAATGTTGCACCTTCTGCTAAGGTGCTGGTCCTCTCTGCAAGTGGCCCTTAGTCTCCTGGCACTGCCAGCTTAGTGCTCTGGGCAGTGGCAGAAGGCAGTGGTGCACGGCTGAGCATGTATTCATCTGCTTTTGTCCTGGTGCCTGCATCTAAGCATGTCCTCCACTCTGTTGCTGAACATACCTGAATGTTGCCCATGACCCCTGTGGACTCCATCCTGCTGGCAACGTTGACTGTATTGCCCCAGATGTCATAGTGTGGTTTCCGGGCTCCAATAACCCCAGCCAGAACCCCGCCTTTGTTCATGCCTGGGATAGAGGCATAAAGTTGAGCACTGCTACATGCAAGTCTTGCATTACCCTATCAGAAGTTGCTAACTCCTTTTCCATGGAATGTCATCTGACCCCTATCACAGAGCTCCTGACCATTTAACATCCATGTTCCTCCTTAAAAGTTACTCTACCATACTGGAAGGTAAAATCATGTCTTCTATTTATCCTTGCTTCACCAAGTCCTTGGCAAATGTCAACCATGTCTGAGTAATTAATTTACACAGGACAGTAGTGGCCAGCTTCTCTGTAATACAACTAGTACTTTAAATTCCTGTGACCCCTCAGTAGGAGGTAGCAGGTGACACTACGAAGAATCTGAGCATAGCAAGGCTCTCAGTAGGCATGGAAACCTTGGCAAGTTAGCTGGCTGGATTGTGATTGTATGCAGCAGGGATGGGTGTAGCTTGGTCACTTTGTCATTCACACTTTGTTTAATTGTCTAGGAGGGACTGGACTAAAGGTCCTTCAGGTCCCCTCTAGCTGTGTGTGTGAGAGAGACCCTTCTCCCCAACTGCTCCCAGCTTCCTGAGCCTCTGTTTTTCCTGCTGATGTGCCAAGCCTCACAGGAGCGTGGCCAGAGCCCTTACCAATGCGCAGCATGAAGTTGTTGAAGGACTGGTTGTTGATGTTTGTAAGCGTATCCTTCATGGCTAGCGCGAAGTCTGCCAAGTCGGCCAGGTGCTGCCAGCGCTCCTTGTCTGACTTTTCCTCCTGTGTCAAGCAGTGACGAGAGCATCAGGAGCTGCCCAGGCCATGACCGTGGCAGCCTGTTTGTCCCCTTCCTTCCCATAGCAGCATGCTGGGGGGGAACACCTACACCTAATTGTTAGCACTTTTCTTTCCTTCCTCCCACAAAGATGTCAGCTGTAGTATGTCACAGGACAGAGTTCACAAAGGTCCCTGGGGGAAAGGTCTAGGGCAACCCAACCCAGGTAGGCTGCTTCTATGTGCCATGTACCTGACCATGAGGCTGGTCTCCTTACCACCCTGCCTGAGCCTGGTCTTTGATTTGTGTGTAGCTGTTCTTGTTTGGATTCCTCAAATCAAAACAAAAAAGTGGGGCCACACTTGAGGGTGGTGGCCCCTCTACAACCTGCTTCCTTAGCCTCATCTAGAAAGTGGAGGCGGCAGTAGTACTGACATCATGGGATCATTATAAAGATAAAGCTACGTGATGATAATTTCTTAAGATCAGTACTTGGCACCAAAGCCCCCACAGCTCATTTCCTAATCTGGAAACTAAACAGCAGGCTCCACAGGTCCGCATTAGCTTAGTGAAAGACCAGGCCAATAGCAGCCAGTGAGTTCCCAGGGCTCCTCTAAGTTTGCATTGTTCAGAACTGCATAGATGGCTCCTGCTTCCAGTTCTTGGGAAAGGGGGCATGGGCACAAGAACACACAGACCATCTTAGGCCTATGCAGTGGAACTGTAATAGGGGATAGATGTGGGGGTGTTCTGCTGGTTCTCTGCTCATTAGATTTTCTCAGTAGGCCCTCTTCCATCTGCACTGCATGTGCTGGTAGTATGTTTGATGTCCTCTGCACAGTGGTACTTGGAATCTTCTCTGACTCTGGTAGTCTCTAATATGCTGAGTCTCGGCTGCAGGTCTCTTGCCCCGGGACAGAGTTGAGTCTCCTCTCAAACCATTGAGTCAGCTTGTTAGTTACCTAGCAAGCTTAGTTACCTTGCTGGAGCTGGTAAAGCCATTGGTGTTGACATCTGGAGTGACACCTGAAGCTGCCATATAGGTGCTACCAATGGTTTTGATCTTGGTGATGACACGGAATTTGGGATTGTCCAGGAGCTGGGGCCATTATTGAGGAAAGAATTGTCAGCAGAATCAAGGGAGATGGGTGAATGAGCCACCTAACAGATGTACCTGTTTAGAAGGAAGGACCCCACAAAGCATCCAAGAGAGGCTTTCCCGTAACTGCTGTACAACATGCTAACCTGCCACACGATCCTCAGCAAACTTCCTAGCGTTCTGAGCCATTTCTACAACCTTGACACTGAGATAAAGTTGCCAGTCTCCTGGAGTGTTTGGGCACATGTAAAAGAATTTTCTTCTTGTATACTGGTTCCCACTAAACGTATACTGAGTTTGAAGACAGGAGGAATTGGGGAGCCTGGGGTCTGGTTTGGCCAGTCCTTATCCTATGAACTTATAGGGGGTTTTCCTATAAGTTCCTCCCACCTCAACCCTCAGACTTAGCAGAAGTCCATATATTATGGGAAGGGGCTCATCTAGGAAATGCATTCGGTCTAGCATAACTCACTTCTCTTTGACTTTGTCTTGGGCTATAACCTGGGATGGGCTGGCTCAGGCAGGAGGGGACAGGAGGGCACTCACAGAGTCAAAATCAGAGATGATCTCATTGAGGAATCGCAGACATTCAATGCCACCATTATTGATGCTCTCTTCCGTGTAGAAGTCAGCAAAGTTGGGCAGGGAGGCAAACATGACTCCAATCTCATCGTAAGTCTGGCTGTACAGCTCCTAAAAAAAGGCAATGGCCCCAGCACTTGAAGGCCAGCTGCCTGATGGGATGATATGCTTGGGTAACAAATCTTATCTTCCCCATACACAATGTAAGCACTCAGTGTTTTAGACTCAGACATCTCAGATTATACCAACTTTGAATAATCAAAAAACAGCTCATTCCCACCTTGAATAAATGAAATGTAGCTTTCCTAACCAGCCATGAGGAAGAGGGTTCAGTAGACCTGGGAATCACCCTGTGTTGAGGTCACCAACAGAAAGGGGGACTCTGGCCAGGCCTTATCTTCTGAAATGGAGCCTCAGAGATGTGACCCTCATGAACAATGTCTAGAACAATGCTCTTCAGAAACAGCGTGGAAAATTCATTTACCAATATTGCTGCTAGTTAGGTCCGGCCCTACTTGGACCTTGGCCCCAGGCATGAGAAAGTGGGGGTCTACAGGAGCTCCCTGAATGGACAAGCAGATGAAAACAAAGGGCCCCATGCCTCACCTCATCTCTCTTCTTGGATCCCAAGAAATGGCGTGCGACGTGCTCAGGCAACATGTTGGTGACCAAGGCCTCATTCCAGCGTCGCATCTCATAGACACGTTCCTTCTGGTCATGGACCTCAATCTTCCACAAGAATAGTGTCCGTGCCAGTTTTTCTACCTACAGACACAGGCATAGACAATGTGTATGCTTAAAAGCTGGCCATCTGAAGGAAAGATGAAAAAGGGGGACTTGAATGGTGGGGTACCACTTGGAGAAGCTGGAAAGAAGATGGCCAAATGGCAAGGGAAGTAAGACCCTAAAAGAGTTTACCTACTCAAAATGCCACTCCACAACTGCAGAGAGGATTCCGGCCTCTGGTTATAGCCAAGATCCAACAGGCCTTAGTATGTATGGGGCCTTCCAGGATGTAATTTTAGCTGCAGTTCTGCTGGGGAGGGGGGAGTGGTCCAAGTGGGATCCCCATTTCTAGCAGAAACTTTTGACTGACAAATGGCTTGATAAGGCTGTACTTTCCTGAGTAGGCCACTGGGGGGCACCCAAGCTAACATGGAGTCCCTGCTCTCTTCCTCCTCAGTCTTTTCCACGTTCAAAAAAAAAAACCCCAAAAAACAAAAACTTCACCAGCTGCTTTCCATTTCTCTTCTGACTCTGTGGTCAGTGCATTAGTGACACTGCATGTCAGGCTAGATGCAGAGACCAAGGCCCTAGGTCCTTGGGAATAGACTAGCAGGCTTTCGGGCCTGCACTCTTTCCTCTCTGCACTCCTGCTTCCTTCCTTCAAGCTCCTGGGAGTTAGACCAAGAAGTGAACCATCTTCCTTACACTACTGAGGAAGAAAGCTGTGGCTCACTCAGCCATGTGCCAGGTTGGGTAAGAAACCCACATTCCTTTAGGATCCTGGCTGGTAGGGTCCTAAGACTTGCTTCCTGGGAAGCCCTGGTGTGTTTGGGCACAGGTGGAGAGGAGGGTGTGTGGCACTCACGTGGCGGGAGAAGTAGTACAAGCTCAGCATCACGATGAACATCATCACTGTCATGGAGTACTTAGAGGGCACCAGGGTCAGCCTGCCGGGTAGACAGGAATGCACCTGAAAGACAGCCGCTGCCCTCCGGAAAGGACCACGTCCTCTAACCAGGTCCTGTTGTTTCCTGTCACCCTAAGCTTCCCAACTCCTCGGGCCCCTTCACATCGAGTCCTGACTCCCGCAGGGCAGTGAGGCTTTCTTAGGCCATTGGGCTTCTAAGAGTCGGCCAGCCTCAGCCTCTGCTGGCTGCAAGAGGTGATCGTATCAGGCCTGCCGTCCACATGCTTAATCTCTGTAGCACCTGACTAACCCCAGACGTAGCTGCAACCTGGATTTTGGAGAAGGGAGAGGCTAACATCACAGTGGTGGGACTCAGAATGACGGGAGCAGGTATGTACGTAGCAGTAGAATTGCTGGGCCACAGGGTTGTTTTGTTTTGTTTTTGTTATACTTGGGTTTGAACTCAAGGCCTTGAGCTAGCTAGGCAGAACTCTACCATTTGAGCCACACCTCAAGCCCTTTTTTGCTTTAATTTTATTTGTACAGGGTCTCATGTTTCTGCCTGAGGCCAGCCTCAGCCTATAATTCTACCCAGCCACCTAGCTGGGATGGCAGGCACATGCTGCAATGCTTAGCTTTCACAGGTTTTTCAACTTGACTAACTCCAAATTGATTGTACCAGTTGCTATCAACCACCAGGTGTGTATGAGTTACCACTGAACTTAGTATCAGATTTTTAAATTTTTGCCAGACTGGTAAATGTATAATGACATTTTATTATGGTTTTACTTTGCGTTCCTTGATTATTTGAATGTCTTTCATTTATTAGTGGCCATTTAAGCTGCTTTTGTGGAGGGCTGGCTCAAGTCTTTTACCCATGCTCCATGAGTAACAGGTCTTTTTGTTTTGTTTTGCACATGAAGGTCTTTTCAACTGACTGAATCATAAAATTCTAAAACTAGAGTCAGAAGGGACCTTAGAGAACTTCTAGTCCAATGTCCTCCTCAAGAGGGAAAACAGACTTAGGAAAACACCTGCCAATGACTCCACAGAGAATGGCTGACGGCCGCAGGTAGGAACCCAGGTCCCCTATTCCCAGTGTAGGGCTGTCATCTACTCAGCTGTGTTCCTCACCACCATGTGGCCTCAGCTGACTGCCGACACTGCTCTGCTCTCGAAGCTTCACTGTCTTTGATGCAGGAGAGACCTGGATGTTCAGGTCCATGCTAGACTCTGCGCCTGCCCAGCCCTCCTATGGTGACACACACCAGCATACCAACTCCTCTAATTTGTACACCCCAAGTCATGTGCCTTCAGCAGGGCAAGATCCTGAGGTGTTAGCCTGTTGTATTGAAGTATCTAGAAAAAAGTGCAAACGCAGACCGGGAAGGGTGAGCAGTAGCCCTTACCTGCCAGTGCCATTGAGCCCAGGGGTGGGAAATACCTGCATCTTCTCTAAGGCCACCATAGGAAGGCTGTTGAATAGATAATAACACAATCAGACCACACCTGGGTACAAAAGGCTGATGCCCAGGCAAACACTGAGGTATTCCAAATCTTCACTCATCAAGATGCAAAGGACCTATCCCCAGATCACAGTCTGCGAGAATCCATGAACCCTGGTTCCCATACAAGCCTTTGATGAGCCTGTGCCAGAAAGCCACCTCAGTGCAGACCCCACGACATCGAAATGGGGCTGTGGGGGTGGAAGGAAGGAGACCATGCAGATCCCCAATCAGGCTTCATCTTACTCATGTTTCTGAAAGCGTTTGCGGTCGTATTCATCAAAGACGGTGCACCAGGCATAGAGGTTGATGGCAGCCACCGCGCCGGTGACAAGCAGCATAAGTGTGAGCTTCACCATGTGGCTGACCTGCACCAGCATGATGGTGGCAATGAGGGACAGCACAGCGATGTAGTTGTAATACTTGGGGTTCTCCAGGCAGTCGCCCTCCAGCTCCATCCCTGCCGTCCCGTTATAGGATCCCGCGTAGTACTGGAGACAGCTAAGCTAGAGACCGGGAATGCCAGGAAGGGAACAGGAGCACAAGGAGACATCAGCTGCTAGTAAGAGAGGGCTATGCCATGGCAGTGGCCAGCGGCTTCCCCACGGTGCCCCCAGAAGTCCCAAGGAAATGGGAAAATTTACCAGGGAATAATCATACAAAGATTAGTGACTGGTACCAAGGACTTTCCTAATATCTCATGTGATGGTCAGAAAAATTCACTGTTTTTAGTTCTTTTCTATTCATAGAAAACTATGAGGCTGGACTTGCCCAAAGCTGCACAATTAGCAAGCAGTAACATGAGAACCAGGAGCCAGGTCTCTATGCTTCTGCCCTGCACACTCTTCACATTGCACTGTTGCTGCAGGGGAGGCTGTGGACCACACAGCCTCCACTGAGCCTCCCTGTGGTGACATCCAGTCTGTTCAAAACTGTCACTGGGCTAGGAGGAGGCTCGTTACCTTCTGGAGTCTGTCACCTGGTCCCATTGCTGGGCAGACGCCATCAACAAGACAGAACCACATCCATCTAAAAGCCAGTGTTCAATCTAGCTTTGGGCAGGAGTCTTGAGCATGTAACAACTGCTAGCACGCATAGCGACCCTGGCATTGGAGGTTCCCCGCCCCCGTATCATCTTTGACCTCTCCAATGGGTAATTAAAGGACTTCTCCAAGACATCCTGCAGGGAGCATCTGTGATCTTGTTAAACTGTGGTCTCTAGGCCAGGGCACCAGCACCAGGTGTTCTGACATAAGGAGCTAGGGGCCTGCACAGTGGGCCACCATGCAGTGCATGATCATGGTTGGCTCTGGACCTCCTTACTCCTCATCCAGGTGGACTTCTGGTCGACTGGTTGCAGCCCTAGGACTTTTTCACTTACATTACTGCCAGAATAAAAGTCTCCATGCTGATTTTATTCCTGTGCTTATTAAAGAAAATAAAGCAAGTACTGTAACAATGTTTTACTTGAACAAAGGACTTTTCTTTTTTTTTTTTTTTTTTGGTGCTGGGGACCGAACTCAGGGCCTTGCACTTGCCAGGCAAGCGCTCTTCCACTGAGCTAAATCCCCAACCCCTGAACAAAGGACTTTTATTTAAGAGTGAATATGGTACTACCAAAATTGAAGGAAGCTGTGACAACTGCAAGGGAACAATGACAGCTCCAAGCATTCTGCTCAGTAAACGACTGATGGCTCTAAATCAACAGATCTGGGCTTCCTGCTCCTGTCTCTTCTCCCCAGGAAAGCACCTGGCTGACCTCTCACAGGACCCCAACTTCTCCATGAACTGAGGACAGCATCTCCCCCTAGCCATCTAGGCTCTGTGCATCGTGTCCACTGACCCACCACAGGAAGGCACACAGGAGCACCGCTTTGGGACAAGTTTACCTCCCCAGGCCAGATGGATACCTAACTCCAGCCCCCCATAAGGAACGCCATGATGTGAGGACTACACCCCAACCAGTGAAATAAGGGGGAAGGGAAGTTCAGGATGGGATTTAGTACTGCTTCTATTTTTGACTCTTGACACTGTCACTGACTGCCTGTGTGACCTGCAGCAAGTGAACAAAGCTTTCTGAGACCTGGTTCCTTCATCTGAGACTACAGTACTGATGTGCCTAGCCCGGGACTGGGCATGAGAACAGGGCTCTCAAACTTTGGGAGAGGAAGGATCTGCAAGCAGACAAGTTGGTCTTGCAGGTCCCCTTCTTCCCTGGGGACAGGGCAGGGTGCCCTTTCAGCAAGGTTCAGGAGCTCACCATGTCCACGACATTGACCATGACGAGAATGAAGATGGCTAACATGGCCCATGTGTTCCTGGCCCAGCGGGTCCGGTCGATCCAAGATGAAAAGGCCACAAGCTTCTTAGGAAAGGCCTAGAACCAATGGGATTGCAGGGGCATGAGCCTTGTCAGTCCTTCCTACAGTCATGACTGCTGACCACTCTGGTTGCTCATGTTTAGGCCCAGGAACCTGAACAGAAGTTCTCTGCCTGCAGTCACTCAAAACCAACAAAGTGGGACCAAGCTGAGGACAGAGTAACCCCAGCCTCCAGTCACAGTCCGTGGCAGGGCAGACACACCAACCATCCCTGGAGGCTTGGGCCACACCAGCTAGCAGGCCCACTTTCAAGAGGCAAGGCCAGGGCAAGGAACAATTTTCATGGCTAGCCACCTGCCTTGCCATCTCCCCTATCTTTCCTGAGTCAGGACACTAAATCTCCCCAGGTTACTTGGCAAGCTTCCTGTCAGATTAATTTTCCCAAAACACTGCTTTTTCCTTCTCTTTCTTTTTTATTGGTGGTACTGTGGATTTGAACTCAGGGCTTCATGCTTGCTAAGCAGACATTCTACCATGTAAGTCATGCCCCCCAGCCTTTTTTTTTGCTTTAATTATTTTTCAGGTAGTGTCTCAATTCTTGCCTGGGGCTGGCCTCAGATCCTGGTCCTCCTACCTATGCCTCTGGCGTACCTGGGATCACAGGGCGTAACACCACACCTGGCTTATTATTTGAAATGGGGTCTCAAACTTTTTGCCTGAGCTGGCTTTAAACTTCCATCCTTCTGATCTCCACCTCTCAAGTAACTAGGACTACAGGCATGAGCCACCACTCTTGACAAAAGTCTTAATCTCTTTTCTGAACTTTTTTTTTGGATTGGGTTTGAACTCAGGGTTTCGCACTTACAAAGCAGGCACTCTACCACTTGAGCCACATCTCCATCCATTTTGCTCTGGTTAGTTTTGGAAATGGGATCTCATGAACTAGCTGTCTGGGCTGGCCTTGAACTGCAATCCTCCCAATCTCAGCCTCCCAAGTAGCTAGGATTATAGGCATGAGCCACTGGCACCTGGTTCCTTCATCCTGGCTTTTAATGTTCTTTCTAATCAAAGTCAACCCACCACCCAGCCTGGGCCTCCCTACCTTCCTACTCAGGTTCCCGTTACCCGTGCTGCCTGGCTCAGGCACACTGCAGTGCCATGGCCCACCAGAGCCCAGCTTGGGGTAGGTACTCAGCTGACAGAGAATGATGAATGGTGGATGGATGGGTAAACGCCTGAACCATCCTCACAGAAGAGTCTGTCTGTCAGGACTTGACAGGAAGTCTAACTCCCATCAGTACCCAATTTCACAGCTAGCGCCATTCACTTCCAGAAGCTTCTGAGTCCAACAGAAAAATGCCTCTTACCCGGGGAAAGATGGCAGCCAGCGAGCAGATGGTCAGGATCAGGAGCAGAATCTCCCCAACCACAAATGTCACATAATTTGTCATCAGCCTGTGGCAGAGAGAAGATGACAGAGGAGGGGTTGGAGGAGGGAATCTGACTGGATGTGGGGCTTGGAGAGTGCAGAGACAAGCATGGCACAAGCCTTTGCCTGGGAAGTTCCATGTGACACCAGGGAATTGCTGCTGGCTATGCAGAACAAGACGAAAGGCCCTGGCCAGGGGAGCACCAACCAAGTGCAGCGTCTGGGAATTTGCCACCTCCCCAGAAATGTCTCCACTGGGACATTTTCAGAGCAGAGAGGGTCACAGATGCCCTGGAAATAGCCCAGTAAAAGCTTGGGAAAGATCTTCGGAATGAACATCCACCATGTGGCCTACAGAACGAGGACAGACGTCCGCTGAGGACTGCCAGGCCGTCCTGTGCAGACATAGAGCTACAGTGGCCAAGTCCCTCCCGCATCCATTTCACTTAGAGAAACCTGCCGTCTCCAGCTCCCCACTCATTCCCACTGCCATCCCATCCCTCCAGGGAGAACGCTTTTCCACGAGCCCCAGAAACCTCCATGTTGCTAAACCCACTGTCCAAGTCAAGTTCCCTTCTTTGGGACCCTTTCTCACTTGGTTTTCAAGATCTGCTGGTTCTCTGTCCCTCCATCTATAGGCACACACTGCTGTGCCATGGCTTGGGCGTCGACCTGCTCTCCTTCCGCCCACACTCTTGCTTGGCAACCTCACCAAGTCCCATGTGCTCTGTGGGGGTGACTCCAAGTTTGCATTGCCAGCCCAGTCCTCTCCCCCAAGCCCCAGATTATATATTCAGCTGCCTCGCACACACTGTCACATAGGCATCTCAAACTTAACAAGGCCCAAACCAAACTCCTGATCTGTGCCTCTATCTGCTCTATCTTGGTTGATGGCAACTCCATCCTGTCAGTTGCTGAGATCAAAAGCCTTGGTGATGTCCTTGACTGTTTACACTCCTCACAACCAGTATCCCAGTGAATTCTGTCAGGTCTGCCTCCAAAACATATTCAGAGTCCATCCATTCATCAATAAATTCAGAATCCAACCCTTCAACTTCATCTCTAACTTCAGCCTGGCCCAAGTCTCCATGGGACTTTATCTGAGTCACTGCCACCTCACATGGTCTTACTGTTTTCCCTCTTGCATACTAAACTCTGCTCTCACCACAACTGGGGGATCCTTCTCAAGTATGTGCCCAGCAGGACCTTCCAGTGGCTTTCCATTTGGGTGGAGAAGGAGAAGCTGTGCCCTGCCACAGTCCCTAAGGTCCTAACTCCCCACCCCACCGCCGGCCACTCCCTGTGATGGCGTGTTCTAGGATCATTGACCACTCACCTGTGCCTCCATAGGCCTAACCCACTGGTGTCCACATCTCTGCCTGAGACAGGCACCCCCAGATAGCAGAAGGCCTGCTCCTTGCCTCTTCAGGACCTTACTGAAATAATCACCTTGCTATGCGCTCTTCTCTGACCATATTACAAAATGCAGTTATGCTCCCTAGCTTGCTTTACTTTTATCTGTAGCACTCACAGCTACATGCATACCTACTTCGATCACTCAAACGTCCACGCCTGTCTTCCCCTACTGGCATGTGTGTTCTGTGAGAGCAGGGACTTCTGTATGTTTTGTTCACTGCTACGTTCCCAGACCTTAATCCCAGACACAAAGTGGACACCAATATTTTACAACAAATGACTTTGATCTCACAACAGGCTTGAGTTAGGAAGGTGGTGTCGTGATCTTCACTTGACAGAAACTGGTGCTCTGGGAGCCTTCAGTGACCTGCCATTGTCCTGTGTCTGGAACGTAAGATGGTATGGCTGAGTCCCAAGCTCTTTATAGCCCTCTCTCCCCGGCAAATCCAGGGGGACCCCGAGCAGGAATGAACTGCTGAGGCCAAGAGGGTGGCCATCATCCTTCTAGTGGGGTTTCCAGAGCTGGTCAAGGACTCAGAACACCCTCCCTCGCTACTAAGGACACCAGTCTGCACCCAGAGCCTGAAATACAGCTCTACTATGATCAGCCAAGAGAGGGAAGCCAGGTTGGCTTCCTTGTCTCTGGAAATCCCGACACCCAGTCAGGCAAGTCCTCCATCCTCCTGCATGTCTGCCCCCCAGCTTTCTTGGCCTTGCTGAAGTGCCCATTCCAATGCTAGTGTCCTTCCGGAACCTGGGGCAAGAAGACAGGGAGCAGAGGTAAGGACTGCACCCTGACATCAGGCTCCAGCCACGCCACTGTGGCCTGCTGGTCGCAACCTCGCCCTTCTCACCAGGGATCGATGAGGATCTCGACCAGGGCCGTGCAGAGCAGGACCACGCAGGAGCAGCTGAAGGCGGCCCCGCTCTGCTTCTCCTTCTCCACCGAGTAGCGGATTTCCATCTCCGGATCCATGAACCGCATTGTCAGGACAAAGGTGTTCCTCTTCTTCACCCTGATGTGGAACGGGCCCCGTGAGCCACAGACACCACGACCTGCGAGGCCAGGCCTGTGGAGCTGGGGCCAGCACGCCTGCAGTGGCCACTTACACCTGGGCGGACTCTCGCTCCAGCAGGGCCTCATTGAGCAGCTGGTTGAGCTCATGCTCGTCCTCAGAGGCGTCCACCACGCGGTCCGCCAGGTCCTGGAGGCGCAGCCTGCGGCGGGGGTTGGGGAACGAAGGGTTGTCGGCCTGTAAGCCAGGGAGGGAGGCAGTCAGTGGGGGAGGAAGGGGACAGAAGAGGTCATACTCATGGGAACTCATCCCTCTGGCTCTAAGGACCATTCTCCCAGCAGTCTTCCTGATGCTCTCACTCCGGTCCATCCTGCTGAGGTCGGACCCCAAGCTCTAGGGCTGCCTGGCCTCCTTGAATCCCTAAAAGAAACTCTGCGGTGGCAGTCCCTAGTGACAGTGCTGTGGGGAGCCAGCCCCCTGGTTCCTGAGCAGAGGACCAGGAGCCCCAAGCCGGTCCTGAACCGGGCAGCACAGTCCTGGGACACCTGGCTGCTGGATGGGGTGGGGTCACCTGAAACCCTACATATCAACATCCTTGGGGGCATGAGTGACTTCCAGTCCTAGAGCTTAAGGGATCAGGGAGCAATGGGAGAGAAAAAGCGTGCTGTCACTAGGGGCTGACGAGGGGAAGGGTTGGGAGAGCTGGGGCATCCACTGCCATTTTATGTCCTGTCACAGGAAAAGCATCAACTCCAAAACTATGAATCGAGATTGGTCCTGTCAGAGCCCTGTGAGCGGGTCCAGGGCACATGTGAAGTCAGAGCCACAACTCCTGCCTAGCCTGAAGCTCAGTACTGCTGCCAGCTAAGTTTGACCCCAGGTAGTTGGTGGTCTCCAGCCCCATTTTTCTGCTCTGTCAAATGATATGATAATCTATTCTGGCACCCAGACCCTCTGTCCATGGAGCCTGTCCCAGAGCAGAGTGACACTGGCTAATGGTTAGCACACAGAGAGTCATGGATTGCTAGAGCTGTCTCTGTACTCGTTCTGCCTATCCTCTTTCTATCACGAAAATCACAACACGGAAAAGTTACCAAATGGCAGGTGCTCCAGCAAAAGCTGGCTTACACTAAGCCCTGTCTGCCTTCTGCAGTGTCAGACTTAAAGACCTTGGGAAAAACTCTTGTCTCCTCACACAGGGAGACTGACAGCACTGCCACCCACTTACAGCCACCTCAGCAAGGCAGAGGTCACCTTTGCCAGAGGACATGACCAAGAAGCCCCAAAATAATGGCAGTTTGAGGTCATCTAGGATGTTCTTCTGGAGCAGCACACCAGTCCTTACTTTAGTCCTGACTTTGGAGATGCCCCTCTGTGCATGGAACTTGGGTAGGAATGGGCCAGAGGGGCAGGTCCAGCTCCCACATCCCAAAAAGGCTCAGAACCTGCAGACTTTTCCACCAAAGTCCTTAGTGATCTCAACAGAACTCAGGGCCATCCGAGCTGGAAGAGGCATCAACAGTGAGGGCCTCTTTGGACCTTACCCACTCCTGCCCCGGGTAGCTGATGACAAGACAGCAACACCGTCTAAATGTGGTCACACTGCTAAAAGTGAGTAGTGCCTATGCTAGTGGCCAGCCTACCTCTCCCACCATGAGCCCCTGCTGTAGCAAGCTACTGCTGCTTGACCCCTGCCCACAGCTGGCCCTCCTTATACCCCTTGCCCCACACCCACCTGGACCTCCTGCTCCTCGGGCTCGTCCGTAGTGGAGCCTCTGGCTGGGGCACTCCCATTGGGCTCCTTGGTCTCGATAAGGGCAGGGGAGCTGGGCTTTGAGGAAGTTGGCTGCTCCATTTGGCAGGGCCTGCAGCAGAAAGGAGCAGCCATTAGGGCCCCCAGACACTGCCTGCTGCCCATCCCAGCCTATGGCCCCTCCACTGATGTTCTGGGCTCTTCCCACCAGATCTGTAAAAGCCTCACTGATCGCAAAACTCACTTTTTTTTTTTTCTTTTTGAAATGTTTTATTTTTTTTATTTTTTTTTCATTTTTCTTTTATTATTCATATATGCATACAAGGCTTGGTTCATTTCTCCCCCCTGCCGCCGCCCCCTCCCTTACCACCCACTCCACCCCCTCCCGCTCCCCCCCCTCAATACCCAGCAGAAATTATTTTGCCCTTATCTCTAATTTTGTTGTAGAGAGAGTATAAGCAATAATAGGAAGGAACAAGGGGTTTTGCTGGTTGAGATAAGGATAGCTATACAGGGCATTGACTCACATTGATTTCCTGTGCGTGGGTGTTACCTTCTAGGTTAATTCTTTTTGATCTAACCTTTTCTCTAGTACCTGTTCCCCTTTTCCATTGGCCTCAGTTGCTTTAAGGTATCTGCTTTAGTTTCTCTGCGTTAAGGGCAACAAATGCTAGCTAGTTTTTTAGGTGTCTTACCTATCCTCACCCCTCCCTTGTGTGCTCTCGCTTTTATCATGTGCTCAAAGTCCAGTCCCCTTGTTGTGTTTGCCCTTGATCTAATGTCCACATATGAGGGAGAACATACGATTTTTGGTTTTTTGAGCCAGGCTAACCTCACTCAGAATGATGTTCTCCAATTCCATCCATTTACCAGCGAATGATAACATTTCGTTCTTCTTCATGGCTGCATAAAATTCCATTGTGTATAGATACCACATTTTCTTAATCCATTCGTCAGTGCTGGGGCATCTTGGCTGTTTCCATAACTTGGCTATTGTGAATAGTGCCGCAATAAACATGGATGCGCAGGTGCCTCTGGAGTAACAGTCTTTTGGGTATATCCCCAAGAGTGGTATTGCTGGATCAAATGGTAGATCGATGTCCAGCTTTTTAAGTAGCCTCCAAATTGTTTCCAGAGTGGTTGTACTAGTCTACATTCCACCAACAGTGTAAAGGGTTCCTTTTCCCCGCATCCTCGCCAACACCTGTTGTTGGTGGTGTTGCTGATGATGGCTGTTCTAACAGGGGTGAGGTGGAATCTTAGTGTGGTTTTAATTTGCATTTCCTTTATTGCTAGAGATGGTGAGCATTTTTTCATGTGTTTTCTGGCCATTTGAATTTCTTCTTTTGAGAAAGTTCTGTTTAGTTCACGTGCCCATTTCTTTATTGGTTCATTAGTTTTGGGAGAATTTAGTTTTTTAAGTTCCCTGTATATTCTGGTTATCAGTCCTTTGTCTGATGTATAGTTGGCAAATATTTTCTCCCACTCTGTGGGTGTTCTCTTCAGTTTAGAGATCATTTCTTTTGATGAACAGAAGCTTTTTAGTTTTATGAGGTCCCATTTATCTATGCTATCTCTTAGTTGCTGTGCTGCTGGGGTTTCGTTGAGAAAGTTCTTACCTATACCTACTAACTCCAGAGTATTTCCTACTTTCTTGTATCAACTTAAGAGTTTGGGGTCTGATATTAAGATCCTTGATCCATTTTGAGTTAATCTTGGTATAGGGTGATATACATGGATCTAGTTTCAGTTTTTTGCAGACTGCTAACCAGTTTTCCCAGCAGTTTTTGTTGAAGAGGCTGCTATTTCTCCATCATATATTTTTAGCTCCTTTGTCAAAGATAAGTTGCTCATAGTGTGGCTTCATAGCTGGTCCTATTCTGTTCCACTGGTCTTCATGTCTGTTTTTGTGCCAGTACCATGCTGTTTATTGTTATTGCTTTGTAATATAGTTTGAAGTCAGGTATTGTGATCCTCCTGCATTGTTCTTTTGACTGAGTATTGCCTTGGCTATTCGTGGCCTCTTGTGTTTCCATATAAATTTCACAGTAGATTTTTCAATCTCTTTAATGAATGTCATGGAATTTTGATGGAATTGCATTAAACATGTAGATTACTTTTGGGAGTATTGACATTTTTACTATGTTGATTCTACCAATCCATGAACATGGAGATCTCTCCACTTTCTATAGTCTTCCTCAATCTCTTTCTTCAGAAGTGTATAGTTTTCCTGTAGAGGTCTTTCACATCTTTTGTTAGTTTACACCTAGGTATTTGATTTTGTTTGAGGCTATTGTAAATGGAATTGTTTTCATACATTCTTTTTCCGTTTGCTCATTGTTAGTGTATAGAAATGCTAATGATTTTTCTATGTTGATTTTATATCCTGCTACCTTGCTATAGCTATTGATGATGTCTAGAAGCTTCTGAGTAGAGTTTTTTGGGTCTTTAAGGTATAAGATCATATCGTCTGCAAATAGGGATATTTTGACAGTTTCTTTACCTATTTGTATTCCTTTTATTCCTTCTTCTTGCCTAATTGCTCTGGCTAGGAATTCCAGTACTATGTTGAATAGGAGTGGAGATAGTGGGCATCCTTGTCTGGTTCCTGATTTAGAGGGATGGTTTTAATTTTTCTCCGTTAAGTATAATGCTGGCTGTAGGTTTGTCATATATAGCTTTTATAATGTTGAGGAACTTTCCTTCTATTCCTAGTTTTCTTAGAGCTTTTATCATGAAATGATGTTGGATCCTATCAAAGGCTTTTTGTGCATCTATTGAGATGATCAAGTGGTTTCTGTCTTTGCTTCTGTTAATGTGGTTTATTGCGTTTATTGATTTTCGTATGTTGAACCACCCCTGCATCCCTGGGATGAAGCCTACCTGGTCGTGGTGAATAATCTTTTTGATGTGTTGCTGAATTCGGTTTGCCATTATTTTGTTGAGGATTTTTGCATCAATGTTCATTAAGGAGATTGGCCTATAGTTCTCCTTTTTGGAGGTGTCTTTGCCTGGTTTTGGGATAAGTGTAATACTGGCTTCATAAAATGTGTTTGGCAGTTTTCCTTCACGTTCAGTTTCAAACACCACCGTTTCTAGAATCCATTCCTACTATTAAAAGTTTTTTAAGTAAAGACCCAATCGCTCCCATTCCTATTTCTAAAGCAGAAACGGGGCGACAGTGGATCCCTGAGGTCTGTTTCGAGGAAGTCCCCGGCAGCACCTCTGATTCTGAGATTAGTATTTTTCCTTGTAGCATGACCTAAACGCTGTAACGTGGGGACAGTTTATTCATTCCACCAAGAAGTATGTGTCGAACACAGGTAAAATGTGGAAATGACATTCTCACGAGGAAGGGCAGACAACAGCAAAACAGATATGGAAAATATGCAGTCTATAGGCAGGTAGAAATAGGAAAGTGGGCACAGGGCTGCTGGGGAGTCCAGTCATAAGGAGGGTAGTTGGCAGGAGTGGTGTCACCATGAGGATGACAGTTCAGTTCAGATCTAAAGGAACAAATCAAAAGGGAGGAGAATTCCAGGAACGTGAACAGCTAGTGCATAGGCTCTGGAGCAGGGTGAATGGAAGGGGATGGCTCTGCCATGTCTGCCCCCTTCCCTCTTCATTCCCGCTCGGGAAACTTCTCTAGGCTTCAGCTCCCCTTCCCCTTGGCCTAGCCCCACCCGACTCTGTGCAGCTTCCCCTCGGCACCTAGGTCATGGCTATGGCTCCAGCCACTTCCATACATGCAGTGGACTCCCCTTCTGGATGTTGTCTTGAGACGTACTTCCAGCACCTTCACTGAAACCGGCCACGAATGACACTTACTCTCTGGAAACTGCCTTCCCTGTGAAAGTCCACTACCACGGGACTCCGGCTCTGTAGGACCCAGACTGTTTTGTTTTATTTATTTATTTTTGCAGGCGGTACTCGAGTTTGAACTGAGGGTCTTGTGCTTGCTGCTTGCTGGGCAGGTGCTCTACCACTTGAGCCACACGACCTTCAGAATCATCTTTATACCAATCTGCCCCTTGCCTCTCATGCTCAGCCATAAGTCCTGCCAATCCTGCTACAATAACTTTTATTTTATAATTTGTGTTTTTAAGACAAGGTCTCAGGCTAGGCTTGAACTTAATATGCAGCCCAGGCTAGCATCAAATGCATGATCCTGATTCCTCTGCCTCCCAAGTGCTAGAATTATAGGCATCTACTACCACACCCAGCCAATTGCTCTTTTTTAAAATCCCTTCCTTTCCAGCTCTCTAACTGTGGGGTGGGGAACTCACCGAACCATTGAGGCCATTCTGGGTGGCCGTTTTCTTCACCTCTGGCTTGGAGGCAATGATGAGGTAGGTTTCAATGCCCTTCTCATCTAGGTAATCGCAGCGGCTGCCGCCATCGCCAGGCTCCACGTCAAACTCCCCTTTCAGGCAATCCATGGTGCTCTGGGAGATGTGCACACGCCTGATGGCAGCAAGAGCCCTAAGCATCTGCACTACAGGCAGCCCTCCCCCACCCAGGGACAGGCAGCAGGCCACATGGCACATGGGGCAGAGGCCAAGGGGGCAGGCCTGCCATTAGCTAGCTGTGTGGGCAGCATGACACCTGCTTCCCTGAGCCTCAGATGTCTATCCTTAGAAAGGATTACAATTTTCCTCCTGGGCTGTTGAGAGTATCAGGTGAGAGTCTAAATATGAAAGCTCTGAACTCCAAGGTCAAGGTTCTGATTATTCCTACCCTGTAACCTCTTTTGCCAAAGGTTAAAACCCGCTGAGAGTCTCCAAGGAGAGAACAGGATCTGCCCCTGTGGAGCCCCCAGCTAGACAGATGGCTGGGGGTGGACAGAGCCGGCTGAATGGTGGCACATGTAGACGAGCTCGAGCCAGATGTGAGGTGTGCTATGGACTTCCAAGTCTGGCTCCTCGCTTGCTACCTGATCACTGATAATAACGCCCTCTCTGGGAGGTCTGGGCTGTGACATCAGAGGTAAAGCAGACACAAGGTCAGACGGCTGCAGAGGGCTAGGCAGGTTGAGCTGTGCCCAAGGACAGTCTGAGGATGCAGCCCTTCAAGAGAGGTTTCTGAATGGCCATAGCCAAGGGCAGGGCAGGAATATCGTTCCTGGTTGGGAAGAGGCCCTCAGCCCCTTGTCCCTTGTTAGGGCCACAGCCCTGGAGGTTGGATAGGATGGTCCCCTCCTCTGGTCCTCACATCTGTCCACATGGAAGAAGCACTCACCCAGGGATGCCACCAGCTTCCATCTTGTTGGCCACAGTGACATCGGTGGACCACACATCATACTGCCAGCGCTTCTGTCCCAGGACACCACCCAGCACAGTGCCCGTGTGCACCCCCACACGCATGTCCACCCCAGTCTTGGTCTTCTCCCGCACGTACCTGACAGGTACACACAGAGAAGGGGTGTTGGGGCATGACCTTCAGGAGGTAGCCCGCTGCCCCTTCCTGCAAGGAGTTCTGCAGGAGCTTTCCTTCCCTCCGGGCGGGAAGGGGAGGACTAGCACAAGCCTGCAACTTTCTGCCTGTATCTGAGCTGAGTGACCTGCCAGGGCCCGGATTTGGAAATCACAGTGGAGTTTGGGATGGGGGTGCAGGGGCCACAGTGACACTTCCCAAAGGACCTCCCCTTTCTCTCTTCCAGTTGTTCACCTATTGATGCAGTTAAGGTTTCACGGAGCGTCAAGGGGGATATTAGAGGGGCTTTAACCCAGGAGATAGTTAAGAATGCAGAGCTGTCCCAGAGGTGAAGAGTGGAGGCTATCCCGACTCCGCCCCTAGGGAAGACAGGTGCCTTTTCCACCTTGTACTCAATCTCTCCCCTGGCCTCTGGCCACGTCAAGCTTACTGCATGACCACCCTTCCGGGGGTCTCCAGGCTCAGGTAGAGTAGCAAGGACAAGAGAGAAGAAGAAGGGAGTTCACCAGGTGCAGCCTGGTTTGCAGCAAAGGCCTGGTTACAGTCCCACCTGCTGCCCCCTATGGCAAGTGACCTCAGAAGTAACTTCATTGGGACATGGGACAGTAATCCCTGAACTGATCTGCTTTGGAGGCTTCCAGTGAGGAAACAGTGAGAGGGAAGACAGGAGAACGCCTGTGGGTGTCCCCAGCAAGCTGCAAGGCCTCGCAGCTATGGAGTCTGCTGTTTCCCTGGCTATGAGGAAGGAAAGCCACTCACCCTGATCAGATCCCTCCATGTGCCAGCCAGTCCCATGCAGAGCCTGATTCTCCGTGATCCCCCCACCACCCTCCCACGGGCACCTGCTTACGAGATGGCCTCCACCATGGCCAGCCCCATAAGGATGGAGCACACGGCGTGGTCCTCCCTGTAGTCAGGCAGGCCGCAGATGCAATAGTAACAGTCGCCCAGGATCTTGATCCGTAGCTGGTGGTATTTCTGAAAAGTCAGATCATGGCCTATGCTCCCAGCCCCTCTTCTACATGGAGGATGGCAGAGCAGGTGGAGGAAGGCCAGACAGGGAAAGAAGGCCAGGGAGGGCCCGAGGCTGCACCAAAGAAGCCAGCACGCTGGTACTTACGGCTGCCAGCTTGTCAAAACGGGCAAAGAGCTCGTTGAGCAGCTTTACAAGCTCCTGGGCACTGCAGGCAGAGGACAGCTGGGTGAAGCCCACTATGTCGGCGAAGAGGATGCTGTGAGAGTAAGGAACCACAGGCCATGAGGCCCCAGAAAGCCACCTGACTCCATGCCAACACCTGCCCGGCCCACAGGACGGTGAGGCTCACATAAGGGAAAGGCCTTGCCCGACCCAAGTGCAATGAGACACTGGCACTTCTGGACAAACTCGACGCTTGGATACAGCAGCTAATCTCTGGGGAGACCTCCTCTTGCAGGCCTTCCTTCCCCGATCCTGCCTGGAGACCGCCCACCACTGTCCCACCCCTGCCTGTGGCTGAACACAGTCTTCTTTCTAGAATCAGGGGTCATGGTTCTAGCCCCAAAGCTAGCCCTGAATGGGTAAGTGACCTCTTAGGAGCCCCTTCCCTACTGGGGTCACAACTGTCCAATGATGGGTTGGACCATGCTGACATCTGCCACAGAGCTCCTCTAGCTGAGGAGGAGCAGAGACACACACCATGGGATGGTCTTGCCTCTAGCACCCAGGAAAACCAAACCCATGGTGCTGGACAGACTCTTCAAAGATGCATTGTTCCCACCCAGCCTGCTGTCAGGGCCTGGGCCTCTGGGCCAGCACACCTCACGTTCTCATGGCGGTACATGTACATGGTGTTGAACTGCTGCTGGTCCTTCTGGCTCTCATCTTTCTTCATGTCCTTCAACATCTCATCGGCCACGTGCTTTGGCAGGATGGAAAGCATGAGGTTCTCCTGTGAGCAGAGAGACAGGGTTGGAGGAGTAGCAGGGTCTTCCCTGCCCTCCTGCATGGCCAAGTTCAGATACTGCTGGAAAGAACCCCTTATACTGGTGACAGATGTCAGCTGGGAACCACAGGGGCCTTCCACTGAGGCCCCACAAACCACAGTGGCAATAGCTGGAGGCCAGGACAGGCAGCTTCTTGCCCTAACAAGGCTCAGACTTGTGACAACCCCTCAGAGCACTGACAGGAGTCAGAAAAGGCACAAAGAAACCCCAGCACAGCCATTCCTGGGTTGGCTACTCACTGAGCCCTCACTACTGTCACCCACCAGGCTTCACAGAGCAACTGTGAATTCAGATTCATGAGTGAAGACCTATGACATACCAGGTGCCAATGATGCCAAAACCAGTGAGAACTGTACCTGAGAGCCCAGGATCTCACAAGGTCCCATGCTATGCCCAGTGTGGTATGACATAAATAACTAAAGTAACATGTGAGGAAGAAAAAAGGGGCCAAAACTTCATGAAGTGAGTATGGGGGCACCAGGGGCCTTCCTAGAAGTGAGGTGTAGCCAAGTCTTGCAGTCAAGACTGAGACACATAGCATTCTACCAGGTCCAGGAACCAGCACATATTTCACTGGAAGCAGAAAGAGGCCTTGAGCACGAGGTATAGATCGAGGGTCAGCAAACTATAGCCTGTGGGCTGAATCTAGCTACTGCTTGTTTTTATAAATAAAGTTTTATTGGCACCCAGCCATACTCATTTGTTGTCCCTGACTGTTTTCACGCTTCAAAAACAGTGCTGAGTAGTTGTGATGGAGACCATATGGCTCACAAAGCCGAAAATATTTACTATCTGGCTTTTTCTAGAAAGAGTCTGTGGCTTGGGCATCTGGATGAATGGTGCCAGTCTCTGAAACATGGAACCAAGGAGGAGAAACAGATGTGAGGGGAAAATGTAGAGTGTGGGGTGTATGTGCTAAGGCTGAGGAGCCACGAGGCCTCCAGGAGTGGATGCTCTGCAGGTGATGCAAAGAAGAGGTGTGAGGCTGGCACCACCTGGCCATGGCTGGTGTCTGGCATGGGAAGCCATGGGTCAGACAGGACAGAGACAGAAGAGACAACTGACAGAATGAGGTGCTTGGGTGGGGTCGGTGCGGGGTGGGGGGGGCGGCGGGCGGCATGAGAGTGCAAAATGCTGCTTCTGTGCCCATGGGACAGCCGGTAGAGGACAATGGGAAAGAAGTTATGGGAGAACCTCACACTGAGGTTTGGTAAGATGGAAATTGTGAAGGGTCAAGGGGCAAGAGAACTGTGGCTAATGGTGAGCAAGTGACTAGACAGCGCTAGGAATATGGACTAGGCAGCAAAGGTGAGGCTAGCCTGGGAGAAGTGGAGGCTGCTGGGGAGGGCTGAAATGCGACAGTTACAGGCAGGTACAGGAAGGCAGACAGCGCCATAGGATCACAACCAGAAGCCCCCATGGTAGAACAGGTCCTGGTGACTAGGCCAGAGTGTTGTTATGGGATTTGCTGTGAAAAGGCAAAGTGAGACAGACAGGGCTCAGGACATCCAGAAGCTGTGTCCACAGTGCAGGCCACACCAGTCATCTAGTTGCAGGGTGCCCAGAAAATCAAGATCAGGTGCCTGGCTCTGGCCTGACTATTTAGGGTAGTTCTGCTGTTATCATTCCACAGCAGTGTCTGTCCCTGAAAACCTCACAATGACACAGGAATGAGGAGCCCAAATAATCCCAGTGTGCCCTGCCCTGAGTCTACCTGAGCTCGGGAAGTAACACTGGAGTCTCTGGGGCCCTGTAGCCCATCAGAGCAAGTACGTGAGACTCGGGTGACCTTGGTGTGATAAGACAGTGAGGTGTGAGGAGTGTGGACAGGTGTGTGAGCAGGGAGGGGATTTGGAATGCAGGCTTAGGAAGATCCTAGAGATGTGCCAGTCTTCCTGCCAGCCTGTGTGCTGTGACCCCAGCAGCCAGGACCCATGTAGTTCAGGATGCATGAGGTTCAGGGCCCATACCCTCCATGATTAGCTCAGAGCTCCGCCGCTCCAGGAAAGCCTCTTCAGCATCCCTTGGAACCTCCAAGACATCAGAGTCCAATGCAGTCCTGTGAGGAGGTGCATGTCCCTGATCACAGTCCCAATTCCATTCCAAACTCTGCCTTCTCCTAGCCAGTCCAGAGTTCCAGAACTATTCACTAAGACAGAACAAAGGCGGCAGCAAAAGCACAAATCAGGGCAGCCCTGTACCCCAAAGCACCAGTGTCTGAGAAAGCCCACATCAGTGCTCAGGGTGGGGAGGTGGGGAATTTTCACTTTTTGCATTATGTATTTCCAAGAGCAATTTTTGAATTCTGAAGGCAGAAAATCAGTAAGCATCAAGCTTGAAAATAATAAGGAAGGAGTTGCTGTGAAGTGAAGGCTACCAGTTCACTTCTGTGGTTGGTGGAAACCATCACCTCAAAAGGTTAAGTAGGCAATAGCCTACCCTGGCTTTTTGATGACCGGACAGGTTTTAAATAAGAAGTGCACACAGAAGACAAGATAGGTAGAACTTAGCCATGAAAAATGGGCAAGGCAGGAGAGGTCACCTGGTAGGTGGAGGTCAAAGGGAGGGAAGTGGCTTCATGGACAGTAAAATGCTGGGATTTTTTTTTTTCTCAGTGCTGGGGATGTGTTGTGGTTTGGACATGAAGCATCCCTCCAAAAGACACCCATGCTGAAGGCTTGGTCCCAAGCTGGTGGCACTATTGAGAAATGATTGACTCACGAGGGCACTAACTTCCTGAATGGGCTTTTAGGGGGTAGGACCTGGTTGGAGGAAGTAGGTCAGTGAGGTGTACCTTTGAAGGGTATCTTGTCCCTGGCCCCTTCCTGTCTCCTTTGCATTCTGGCTGGCATGAGGTGGGCAGCCTCTGCCACACACTCCTGTCACTATGATAGTCTGCCTTACCTCAGGTACAAAGCAATGGATCCAGTCAACCATGGACTGAAACCACTGAAACTGGGAGCCCCAAAAAAGTCTTTGCTCCTTTTAAATTGTTTCTCTCAGGCATTTGTCACAGTGATGAAAAGCTAACTAATACAGAAAATTGGTACCAGAAGTAGAAAGCGCTAGTCGGGTACTCTGCTTGTACAGAGCCACCTAGGGAAATGTTTTCCAAGTTCATGCACCTAGGCACTGAGTCTGCTATAGCCATTGTCCAAGGGACCCAGCTACTGCTCAAGCTGGTGGTAGGCCTTGGTGTTGTCCACATGATAGTGGGTTTGCAGGCATGCAAAATTCAAGAGTTATGGAATCATGGAGGCTTCCACCCAGATTTCAAAGGAAAACCTTGGAGACCAGGCACCATGTGACAGGATTGGAGTCCCTACAGGCAGCTCCTGAGAGGCTGTGAGGGTGAAGCCTAAACTGCAATGGAGACCCAAGGAAGTTGTAGATAGCGAGGACATGGACTGTTTGCAGAGGAAAGACGTAGGTAGTGAGCAGAGACAGTCCAAGAGAGGTCATGCAGACTGCAGCAGGCCAGGCCCCAGGCAGGGCTGCCCAAACCCTATGGAGCTCACACCCCACCACCACATGCCCCAGATGCTGCCAGACATAGGTCTATAGGATTCTGCTAGTTTTGGGTCTTGCTTTGATTCAATCATTCCATTCTATCCACCCCATTCTTCCTTTTGTTATGGGAATGTTTAGTCTATGTCATTGCATATTGCAAGTATGTAAATGAGCTTTCTGAATTTTATGGGAACTCACAGCTAAGACTTTGCCTTGAGTCTCAGAGAAGATTTTGAACTTGCACTTTTGAATGATGTTGGAACAATTAAGACTTTGGGGGCTCTTAGAAATGGACTAGATAAATACATTTTGCGTTATAAGATGGACATGAGCCTTTTGAAGACAGGGGTGTTTGGATATGAAGTGTCTCCCAAAAGGCTCATTTGTTAAGGGCTTGGTACCCAGCTAATGGCACTACCAATCACAGAGGATCTAATCACAGAGGTGATTAGATCATCGAGATACTTCATCGACGGGCTATTAGGAGGTGGGGCCTGGAAGGTCACTGGGGGCCATGTCTTTGAAGGGCATATCTTGCCCTTCCCTGTCCTCCTCTGGTTTCTGGCTTCCATAAGTTGAGTAGCTCTGCCCCTCCCCACCCCTCCACCATGATGTTCTGCTTTACCATAACCCAGAAACAACAGAGCCAACTGACCATGGACTGAAAACTGAAACCATGAGCCAAAACAAATCTTCCCTCTTTTAAATTATTTCTCTGAGGTATTTGTCCAGCAACAAAACTGACTAACAAAGTCTGGAAATCAGGGCCTCACATGGGATAGGCAAGCGCTCTGCCATTGAGCCATATCCCTGGCCCCTGGTATTCTTGAGACAGCCTAAACAGGTCTCTCTAGGGCCAGGCCTGCTGATTCTCTTCAGTCCATCTTCCACATACCACCGGACCCTCCTCTGTACCCTGTGAAACCTGCACCCAGCATCCTTGCTGTCTCCCACCTGCTTCTCCAGGTTCTCTCAGACCTCACTGGGGGTGCTACCTCCTGTCTTTCTGGTCCTACCTCCCACTGCTTTTCTCTGTGGCCCTTTGGTGTAGATGCATGGGACTATTGTCTTTTCTCTGTACCTCTCCCTGTCTTGCTCTACTTCTGAGACCATCACTCTCTCTGGAACACCCCTCTCTACCATACCCCTTAACATCCATTTCACACACATACCCCTCCAGAAAGCTCCAGCCCCTACCTAGGTGTGACCATTCCTCACTTCTCACTTATACCCATTCTTTGGTGTCTCTTTACTGGTGCAGACCTTATTTGGAACATTTTCCTGGGTCTGGCTTCTCTTAAGAGTGTGTGATGTTAGCTAGGGATCTTCTAGAAAAGTACTCAATGTACACATAAAGAATCCCTGATAACATTCTTAGGGCTCATGTTAAAGGACCCAAACCTCACTGGGTATGATGGCATACACCTGTAATCCA